AAGCAACTGAAATGAAGAAGTTGCCATATACTGAATTGGGAAAGACTGGTAGGAAAAGCAGGTTGAGGGGAGACTATCAGGAATCTACTTTTGGATTCATTAAGACCATTTAGATAACCAGGTGGGCATGTTGAGTAGACAGCTGTATATATGAGTCTAAAGTTTAAAAGTGAGTTATCAGCTACACATATAAAATAGGGATATGCAAGCACATAGATTGCTTTTAAAATTATGCAACTAGATACAAGCACCACAAGTAGAAGAGAATGGATAGAGAAGAGATATACAAGTACCGAATCCTGGTTACTCAAAGATTTAGAAGTCCAGGTGATGAGGCAGCAAGAGGATGAGAAGGAGCAGCTGATGAGGTAGGAGAAGAGAAAGAAAGAACAAAGAGGAAGGGATAAGGAGTAGGAGGTGAAGAGGTGTCCTGGACGCTAAATGAAGAAAAAATTTTAAGGAAGAAGTGATTAGGTCAAATGCTGCTAAGCAGTCAAATAAGATGAAGAATGAGACCTGACCAGTGAATTTAGCAACTTGGAAGCTGTTGACAAGAATGGTTTAGTGCAGTGGTTCTCAACCTGTGGGTCGCGACCCCTTTGACGGTCGAACGACCCTTTCACAGGGGTCGCCTAAGACCATCCTGCATATCAGATATTTACATTACGATTCATAACAGTAGCAACATTACAGTTATGAAGTAGCAACGAAAATAATTTTATGGTTGGGTCACAACATGAGGAACTGTATTTAAAAGGCCAGAAGGTTGAGAACCCACTGGTTTAGTGGAATGGCAGGGGTGAAAGAAATTGGTAGGAGGAAAATTGGAGACAGCAAGTAGAGGCCATACTTTGGAGAAGATTTGCTACAACAGGTGGAAGAGACATGGGGGCAGGACCTGAATAGAGAAATTAGATTTAAAAAAATCTTTTGTTCTTTAATTATGGAAAAAATATCAGCTTGTTTATATGCTTGTAGCAATAATCCAAAAAGAGGGAAAAGATGATAATACAGGGGGAAAAGGACGTTGCTGGGTGATATCTTTAAATAAACAGGAGGAGGTGTGGTTAGTGCACAAGTCCAGGGGTTGGTTTTAGAAAAGAGTATAAATTCTTCATAATAATGGGAGAGGATGCAAGACAAAGAGCCTATACTGGTGGGTAATGTGATAGCGGGAGGTTGGGGTGTTCTTTTTTTTGGCTTTCTTCCTCTCTCTCTCTCTCTCTCTCTCAAAAATTTGCATGTCTTCTTCCAATTTTTATACATGTTCCGCCAAAGCAAACACAATAGCTTCTTCTTTCACTTAAAAAAAAGCCAATATATATGTGCTGTCAAAGCAAGCACAATAGCTTTTCTTTTTTTCAGTGAAAGAAGCTGAGAGTTTGGTGGCAGAGAGAGGAGATATTGGAAGTTTGAAGACAGAGGAGAAGTTATTAAATAGTCGGTTTTTTAAAAAAAGAATATTGCCCTAGCTGGTTTGGCTCAGTGCATAGAGTGTCGGACTGCGGACCGAAGGGTCCCAGGTTCGATTCTGGTCAAGGGCACATGCCCGGGTTGTGGTCTCGATCCCCAGTTGGGGGTGTGCAGGAGGCAGCCAATCAATGATTCTCTCTCATCATTGATGTTTCTATCTCTCCCTCTCCCTTCCTCTCTGAAATCAATACATTAAAAAAAAAAAAAGAATATAGATTTGGACTGGAATTAGAAAACTCGATTTTGACTTCTAGATTTTTCACTCATCAGGTGGGTAACATTTAATCTGTCTGAACCTCTCAGGTGTTCAGTTTCTCTACAGGTAAAATGGCGATACCTACTGCTCAGAATTTTTTTGTTTTGTTTGAAGATTAAATAAAAGAATAAGTGTGGGGGGAAACCAAGATGGCGGCATAGGTAAACACCGGAGTTAGCTGCCTCGAACAACCACTTCAAAAATACAACTAAAAGACTGAACAGACATCACCCAGATCCACAGGAAGACTGGCTGAGGGGAAATTCTTCAACTAGAAGGAAAGAGAACAGCACGGCTGTCGTTTTCAATTGGGAGGGAGTCTCAGATTCTGAGCTCCAGTTCTGGGTGAGTCTCTAGGGACCCAGACTCAAACGGGAGAAGTGGGACTCTCTGGCTTCGGTCGGAACGCGAGGGCAGCTTTCTCTCCGAGGTTTGCAGCAGTTGCTGGGACTCTGAGAGGCAGAGCCTCTGGGGACGGGACTGAGAGCAGCCATAACTGCTCCCTCCATCCGCTCTGTTGATCCCTTGTGACCTGCCCCGCCCAAGCCCTGCCCAGAGCCATTTGCCAGACAGCCTCAGGCAAAGGCTAGATTAGCACCTCCCTAGAGGACAGAAGTTTTCCCACTGCAGACACAGCTGATTCTCACAGCCAGTTGGCCTGGAGGTCAAATCCCCCCAGTATTAACTACAACAATCAAGGCTTAACTACAACAAGACTGCGCACAAAGACCACTAGGGGGTGCACCAAGAAAGCATAAAAAATGCGGAGACAAAGAAACAGGACAAAACTGTCAATGGAGGATATTGAGTTCAGAACCACACTTTTAAGGTCTCTCAAGAACTGTCTAGAAGCCGCCGATAAAGTTATTGAGATCTACAAGAAATCTAATGAGACCCTCAATGTTATGATAAAGAACCAACTAGAAATTAAGCATACACGGACTGAAATAAAAAATAGTACACAGACTCCCAACAGCAGACCAGAGGAGCCCAAGAATCAAGTCAAAGGCTTGAAATGCGAAGAAGCAAAAAACACCCAACCAGAAAAGCAAAATGAAAAAAGAATCCGAAAATACGAAGATAGTGTAAGGAAACTCTGGGACAGCTTCAAGCGTACCAACATCAGAATTATAGGGGTGCCAGAAGATGAGAGAGAGCAAGATATTGAAAACCTATTTGAAGAAACAATGACAGAAAACTTCCCCTACCTGGTGAAAGAAATAGACTTCCAAGTCCAGGAAGCGCAGAGAACCCCAAACAAAAGGAATCCAAAGAGGACCACACCAAGACACATCATAATTAAAATGCCAAGAGCAAAAGACAAAGAGAGAATCTTAAAAGCAGCAAGAGAAAGAAACTCAGTTACCTACAAGGGAATACCCATACGACTGTCAGCTGATTTCTCAACAGAAACTTTGCAGGCCAGAAGGGAGTGGCAAGAAATATTCAAAGTGATGAATACCAAGAACCTACAACCAAGATTACTTTATCCAGCAAAGCTATCATTCAGAAGTGAAGGCCAGATAAAGAGCTTCACAGATAAGGAAAAGCTAAAGGAGTTCATCACCACCAGACCAGTATTATATGAAATGCTGAAAGGTATCCTTTAAGAAGAGGAAGAAGAAGAAAAAGGTAAAGAAACAAATTATGAACAACAAATATGCATCTATCGACAAGTGAATCTAAGAATCAAGTGAATAAATAATCTGATGAACAGAATGAACTGTTGATTATAATAGAATCAGGGACATAGAAAGGGAATGGACTGACTATTCTTGGGGGGGGGAAAGGGGTGTGGGAAATGTGGGAAGAGACTGGACAAAAATCGTGCACCTATGGATGAGGACAGTGGGTGGGGAGTGAGGGCGGAGGGTGGGGTGGGAACTGGAAGGAGGGGAGTTATGGGGGGGAAAAAAGAGGAACAAATGTAATAATCTGAACAATAAAGATTTAATTAAAAAAAATAAAGTGGAAGGATGGAATAAAAAAAATGAAAAAAAAGAATCAAGTGAATAAATAATCTGATGAACAGAAAAGAAAAAAAAAGAATAAGTGTGAAGAAAGGCATTTGGCAAAGTTATTAGTACTTGAAAGATAATTTTAACATTTGAATCCACTCATCAAGGACTTGCTTTTTGTAAGCATTGTCATGTATTTTACACACATTCTTATTTAATCCTCACATTGACCCCCGGAGGCACTCTGACCCTGTTTTACTGTTGGGAAGTTGAGCTTCTGAGGTATTAAGAATCTTTTCCCAGGTTCAGAGTTAGGAGAAGGTGGAGCGGCATTCCAATCAAGAATTTAAATCCAGGGCGCAGACTCTTTAAGAACTACCCCCCTCCAAGACATGTTTTCTTTTTTATTCCCTAAAGTGTAATTTACTGCCGTCTTGGAGTAGGTTATAAGGGTCTTCTTGGTACATGTTAGGGAACAAGAAAGCTGAATAGTTCATTTAAAATTTTAGTTCATTTAATATTTTCAAGGGCACATGCCTACTAAATAGTTCATTTAATATTTTCATTGATGTCAGAGAGGAAGAGAGAGATAAACCTCAATGATGAGAGAGAATCTTGGATCCGCCGCCTCCTGCACGCCCCGCCCTGGGGATGGAGCCCACAGCCCAGGCACGTGCCCTTGACCACAACAGAACCACCACCTCCTGGTTCATGGGTCCAGCTCAGCCGCTGACCACGCCCGCCGGCCGGGGTAGTTCATTTTGGAAAACTTAGGACGTCGGAAGTGGTTTAACATTCGATCCCTCCAATGTCAGCAGTTCGAACAGAGAGGACTGCTAGAAGAGAGGTGCTGTCGCCAGATTTTTAGGAGAAAGGTCTTTAAAAAACATATTTTCAAGTGTTAAATAGAATTACATATTCCATTTCCCAACTCCATCAGGGGTCCGCGGCTCGCACGCCTCTGCGGGAATACAGCCAGTGGCATCAGTCCCGAGGGGTGGGGAGGGTTGGTCTCCCGGGGCTGAGTAGGGCGCGGGGGTTTGGGGGCGGCCGTGAAGTAGGTCTCCCGGGGCTGAGTAGGGAGCGGCGGTTTGGGGGCGGCCGTGAAGTAGGTCTCCGGGGCGAAGGGGTGGCGGGGGGAGGGGGGTTTCGGCACGGCTGGGCCCTGACCGGGTGGAGCAGTGGTCGGGGGACGGGGTGGGGAGGGCCTCGCCGGGAGGGGGGCGGGCCTGCGGCGGGCGCGGGGGAGGCAGTGCGGCCGCGTGCGCGTGCGCGTCGCTGCGCCGGGCGTTTCAAAAGCTTTGCTGCCGGGGCCGCGGCGAGATCGCTGCGCGCGACGCTGTTCTGCAGCCTCCGGAGCGGTCGGCTCCGGCTCTTGCGGGATTCGGGCCCCAGCTCGACACCCGCTCTCTCTTCACGCCCCGCCGGCGGGGGTTGCCATGGTCCACTTCTTGCACCCGGACCTCTCGCCCCGGACCATCGCCCTCCCGGACGCGCAGAGGGATGCCCCGGGCCACTACGTGGTGCAGGTGAGCGCGCACAGGGACCTCGGCGGGACCGGCGCTGGTGCGGGGAGAGCGCGGCGAGTCGTCGGGGGCCGTGCTCAGGCACTGGGTGGTTCGTTGGGCCGACGGGGCGGTAAAGGCCGAAGGGGCCGAGCGCCTGCCGGACGCCTGCCGTCGCTGGGGACGCGCAGGGGTGAGGGGTGGTCGATCCGCCGCGTCCCGGCCTCGGGCGGAGCGCGGCGACCTTGCGCAGCGGAGGAGTTGCCGCGAGAGCCCGCCCCGCCCCCGCGTGCCCTTGGCGGGTCCCCTCCTCTGGCCTCGGACTCGCCTTTGCGGTGGCGGCTGTCTGCCCGGGTGTGGAAGGCCAGACGTGATGCTGGGCGCAGCGCTGGGCCTGGGTGCTTATTGGAGCCATGAACCCAAATGCCCCCAACCTCGACGGCTTCCCGCGTGCGCCCTGGAAGCCGTACCCCCGGAGGCTGTGACCCCGCGGTCCCTACTCCCCGAGTCCTGACTATCCTGAGCCCGGCTGGGGAACTGGAAACCCAAAGACTGGAATTCCTTCACTTCCACGTGTTTTGTAAACATGGATGGAGTGCCGAAACCGGTTTGGCTCAGTGGATAGAGCGTCGGCTTTCGGACTGAAAGGCCCCAGGTTCGATTCCGGTCAAGGGCATGTACCTGGGTTGCGGGGGTTGCGGGCACATCCCCAGTAGGAGATGTGCAGGAGGCAGCTGATCGATGTTTCTCTCTCATCGATGTTTCTAACTATCTCTCTCCCGTCCTCTCTGTAAAAAATCAATTAAAAAAAAAGAAACACCAAAAAAACATGGATGGAGTGCCTTTTACACTCAACTCTGAGCAAACTGCAAACCCAGATTATTGGGCGCCTGCTGGTGCGTTCAGTCGTATCTCATTTCTAAAGTAAATCCGATTGTGCTTTCTTTGGGGGGATGTGGGGGGCGGTAAGCATTGTAGTCTCCATGTTACTGGTGGGTGGGGGAATTGAGAATCCTGAAAGTTGATTCGCCTTTGAACTTGAACTTGATATCAGGTTCTATCAGACTCCGCATTCCACAACAGACAGCCCAGGGACCACCCTCTGAGAACTCAAAGTCCAGCGTAGGCGCAACCCAAAATTGGTACAGAAAGAAGGAAATATATTTTTAAAAATATATTTTTGTTGATTTCAGAGAGGAAGGGAAAGGGAGATAGAAACATCAATGATGAGAGAGAATCATTGATCGGCTGCCTCCTGCACGCCCCCTACTGGGCATCGGGCTGGCAACCCAGGTATGTGCCCTTGACCAGAACAGAATTTAGGACCTTTCAGTCTGCAGGCTGGCGCACTACCCATTGAGACAAACCAGCTAGGGCCTGAAGAAAATATTTTGATTGATGTTGTACTTTACTAGTACTTAACTAGCGCCTTGTTGGAGGGCTTTTGTGCCCTGCAAAGATCCTGTATTCCTGTAGTACTCTTTTGGACTTACTTTTAAACGCTGGTACATAATTTGTAAGTTTGTTTTGTAGCTGAGAAACTGGGTTTTTAAGCAAGTACTGGCACAGTGTCACAAGCACATTTCCTATTTAACTAATTTTTAAATTTACACAATGCATGAATACATTTTCACCTGTGATATATATATTTCTCCATTTATTTATGACACCTTTCATTTTATTTAACAATGTTTTGTAGTTTTAGTGTAAAGGTCTTTTCATTACATATTTTATTAATTCTACCTCTGCTTTTGATACTACTGTAAATATTTTTTAAAGTTTATAAAACTTTAGCCCTGACCAGTATGGCTCAGTTGGTTAAGCATCATCCCATGCACTACAGGTTCAATTTCCTGTCAGGGCACATGCCCAGGTTGTGCCCTGAGGTTGTGGGATCCTCAGTAGGGGGCCTGCAGGAGGCAGCTGATGTTTCTCTCTCATCAATGTTTCTATCTCTCTCCCTTCCTTTCTCTCTAATATCAATAAAACAAACCTTAAAAGTTTTACAAACTTTTTATATTGATCTTATATCCTACAACCTTGCTAAAGTCACTTTTTCTAGTTGTGTTTTTGTAAGATTTCTTAAGATTTTCTTAAAATTGTGTCATCCATAAGTAAAGATAGCTTTACTTATTCCCTTTCAGTCTGTGCTTTTTATATCCCTTTTTATATCCATTTTCTAGGTCCTTTTGTAGAATGTTAGAGAAGTGGTGAGGGTAGACATCTTTGTATTGTTCTAGATCTTTTCACCTTTAAGCATGATACTTAGTGTAGGTTTTTCCATAGATGCTCTTTGTCAAAGAAGTTTTCTTCTATTTTTAGTTTGCTGAGTTTTTTTAAAAAATTGACTTTAGAGAGAGAGGGGAAAGGTGAGAGAGAGAAAGAAACATAAATTTGTTATTTCACTTATTTATGCCTTCATTGGTTAATTCTTGTATATGTGCCCTGATGGGGATTGAACCCACAACCTTGGGATATTGGGACAATGCTCTAACCAATGAAGCAACTGGCCAGAGTGAGGTAACTTATTTTTCAAGATATAACAGAAGCTACAACAGATGACATCTTCTATTCAGCTAACAGTTGGAATAAGATAGTTTCATTACTTATAAATTATTATTAGAGTAAGGAGAGTGTACTTTTAGATCTACTCATCAAGTAGTTTGATGTATGGCAGACCACTTTTATGTTGAGTTTTTGTATGTGTATTCTAACAAAATTTGTTTGGGGGTTTGTTTGCTAGGAGGAGGCATCTCCCTACTCTTTGGTCGACATCTGCCTGAATGTCCTGATTACTAACCTGGAGAAATTGTGTTCTGAAAGATCCGATGGAACACTATGCCTTCCTGAGCATTGGCATCTTCCTCAGCAATTAGCTGATCGGTTCCTTGGAGTGATGACTTGGCAAGGTAATGATAAGGTCCCTTGGTCATGTATTATAACACTCTTTACAAGTTGGAAAACACTTTCACATGCAGTTCCTATTTTGTTCCACCATAATCTGGTGGGAAATAGAGAAATTATTCCCATTTTATTTGTGTGGAGGCTGAGTCTGAGTATCTCTGGGATCCCTTGGTGGAAATTGTCTGGCTTTTCTAGGCTTGCCTCCTACTATTGGCTTAGCTGAGTGAAGGTAGCAGAGAACTCACTGAGCTCTCTGCTCTGTAGCTGCTGAAATGCAGTTGCTGTAGTCTTGTCTCATTCTTTGGATTGTGAGCATGAGCCTTTAAATAATTTCCCTTTGCCTCCTGTTACAGTGAGGTGTTCAAAGGGCTATGTTTAATTTGCCATGTTATGATTTTTCCTTAATGAAAAAAAGTTTTAGTGAATTATTTAGATGTAATTCATGTACCATATAATTCACCCATTTAAAGTTTACAATTCAAGAACCAGGATGGCGGCGTAGGGAGTAGACCTGTGCGTGCTGCCTCCCACAATATCATTGAAACTACCAACTATAAGACAAACAACCACCATTCAGAACCATGGGGAAGTTGGCCCAGTGGAAGTTCTACAACTGGAAGGAGAGAAAGAAGCGCAGTGAGACTGAGTAGGAGCTACAGAGGCGCCAAAAACAGGTACACAGTCGCGCTCCAGGCGGGGTGCAACTGGATGCGCGGTTTTTTTTCAATCAGATTGCTCGGGGCGGGTCTCTGGGGCCCTAGACCCCATGGGGAGAGGCGACACAGCCTTGCAGTGGTCGGAAAGCGAGGGAGGCTCTGGCGCGCAGCTGCTCACCAGCACTGGGGGACGCGAAGTCCCGGTGTCCCGAAGAGGCGAGGAGCCGCGGAGACGCAGCCATTGCTATTTGCTCCGCCCTGGCGACTCCCTGAGACCCTGCCCTACGCAATTTACATCCCCATCCAAGCTGTGCCAGAGGCACCAGAGAAAACGCCTGCGCTTTTACAAACTCTCGAATCCACTGAGCTGGTTTGGGCGGGATCATGAGGCACCAGACCCTACCGGGAGAGGTGGCACGGCCTTGCAGCGGTTGGAAAGCAAGGGAGGCTCTGGCGCGCAGCTGCTTGCCGGCACTGGGGGACGCGAAGTCCTGGTGTCCCAGAGAGGCGAGGAGCCGCGGAGACGCCGCCATTGCTATTTGCCCTCAATTTACATCCCCATCCAAGCTGTGCCAGGTGCACAAAAAGACCCACCTGCGCTTTTGCAGCCTTACCCAACAAATTGCAGACTTACCCATGGGAGACACACTTAAGAAGCAGACCCAGGAGAGACCTGTGCGTGCTGCCTCCCACAACAACATCGAAACTACCAACTACAGGACAAACAGCTATCATACAGAACCATGGGAAAGCTGGCCCAGTGGAAGCTCTATAACTGGAAGGAAAGAAAGAAGAGCATTGAGACTGAGTCGGATGTGCAGAGGCACCAAGTACAGAGCCCAACCCAGCAGGCTGCAGATTGCGGCTCCTCGCATCCCGGAGGGACGCACTCGGGGGGCGGAGTCGGGTTCGGGGCAGGCCAGAGCTGGCCCGGCTGGGCCGGCGATGTGGAACTGCTGTACCAGCAGGCGCACAAGCACGCCCACCGGTTCCAGTCTCGTGTGGGACGCTGAGGGACGGCAGACGGGCAGTCTGTGCACTTGCTGGAGAGCGAAGTCCGAGCAGGCGTGCCGGATATTCAGCCACCAGGAACGCCTGGAGATTTTGCCTGGTGGGGAGCCGCCCGGCAGGGGACAGAGTGCCAAACTTTGTGTAGCCCCGGTGAGGCTGGGACGGCCCCGGTGAGGTCAGGGTGCCCCCGGAAAGGTCGAGACGGCCCTGGTGAGGTCAGGACGGCCCCGGTGAGGCCAAAACGGCCAGGGTGAGGTCGGATTGGCCCCTGGTGAGGTCGAGACGGCTCCGGTGAGGTCAGGATGGCCCCGGTGAGGTCGGGATGGCCCCAGTGAGGTTGGGACGGCCCCAGTGAAGCCGAAAGGGCCCTGGTGAGGTTGAGACGGCCCTGGTGAGGTCGGAACAGCCCCGGTGTGGTCGGGACGGCCCTGGCGAGGTACGGCACCGGCAAGGTTGGGGTGGCCCCGGTGAGGTTGGAGCGGCCCCGGTGAGGTCAAGACAGCCCTGGTGAGGACGAAGCGGCCCTGGTGAGGTTGAAACGGACAGTGGGTACCAGTGTAGGCTGATGAACAGGGTGGATGCAGAGGTGGAGCGGCATTGAACGGACTGTCGGACTGCGGTGGGAGGCCTGGGGAGGGTTTGCGGGGGGGGGGGGGTAGGGGGGCTGGGAGATCGACCGAAGGACTTATATGCATGCATGTAGGAGTGACCAATGGACACGGCACACTGGGGGGTGGGGGAGGCTGGGGGAGTGTCGGGGGTGGGAAGAAGGAGACATATGTAGTGCTCTTTGTGGTACTTCAAGAAATAAAAATTATTTGGGGGGAAAAAAGATTAAGCTGGGTTTTATGTATGAATAAATAGAATGTGGACCTTAAAAAAAAAAAAAGTTTACAATTCAGTGATTTTCTTCAGTGTATTCACAGATTTGTGCAGCCTTCATTACGATTTTAGAACCTTGTCATTACTTCCAAAACCTTTTATAAACCCATTCCCCCCAACCCTAAACCACCACTAATCTACTTTCTACCTCCATGGATTTGCCTGTTCTGTACATTTAATATAAATGGAATCATGCAATAGGTGGCTTTTTGCATCTGGCTTCTTTCACTGAGCTTAATATTGTCAAGGTTCATCAGTGTTGTAGCATCGGTCATTACTTCATTCATTTTTATGGCTGCATAATACATGCATACCTTGGAGATATTGCCGGTTCTGTTCCAGACCATCACCATGAAGTGGATATCTCACTAAAGTGAGTCACACCAATATTTTGGTTTCCCAGTGCATACTAAAGTTATGTTTACACTATAACGTAGTATATTAAGTGTGCAATAGTATAATATCTAAAGAAAAACAATTATACACCTTAATTAAAAATACTTTAATGCTAATAAATGCTATCATCTTTGCTTGTGGAGGGTCTTGCCTCCATGTTGATGGTCGCTGACTGATCAGGTTGGTGTTTGCTAAGGGTTGGGTCGCTGTGGCAGTTTCTGAAAGTAAAGCAATAGTGAAGTTTGTTGCATTGGTTGACTCTTCCTTTCAAGAACAGTTTCTGTATAGCATGTGATTTTGTTTGGTAGTATTTTACCCAAAATAGAACTTCTTTCAAAATTGGAGTCAATCCTGCCACTGCTTATCAACTAAGTTTACATAATATTCTCAGTCCTTTGTTTTTATTTCGATATTCTTCATAGCTTCTTCATCAGAAGTAGATTCCATCTCGAGAAAACACTTTCTTTGCTCATCCATAAGAAGCAACTGGTCATCCATTAAAGTTATATCATGAGATTGCAGCAGTTCAGTCACACCTTCAGGCACCACTTCTAATTCTAGGCGTCTTGCTATTTTCACCTCATCAGTGGTTCCTTCCTCTTGGAGCCAAGTCTGTCTTATTCACCATTCTTTGCATCTAGCATAGGGCTTTGCTACAGTGAGCACTCTATTTGTTGAATAAATGTTTGAATAAAAGTACTAAGTTGCTCCTCAAAGCCTAAAGTGTAGAGGCTTCCTTCCTCCTATCTTGGTAGCATAGCCCAACTCACACTGGGAACCTGGGAACCCGCTTGCCACAACCTTTTGCAAACCTTTTGCAGTGAGGATTCAGGATCTGGAGAAGGGGCTGCGCATAAATGGATACACTAGACAAGAAATATAAATTTAGAAGGCATGGGGGGAGCCAGGCGGAGACCTTACTCTCTAGCAGAGAGGTTCCCTGAATCTCGGGACCCATAGCTTTTTATTTACTAGAATACACATTTGCCCTTTAGCAAAGCAAACACGAATATAGAAGGTAAGGTTTGGTAAACAGTAAAAGATTATCAGGTTAGGGGATTGCCTTGAACCACCATTGTCTCGACAGAACAATCGATGTATAGCTTTTAGCCCTTGCTAAAACCCAAGGTCATCAGCCTTCTGTGTTCCCTGCTGCACTTGCATGCTAGTGTAGCCAATGGTTGGCAAACTACGGCTCGAGAGCCACTTGCGGCTCTTTGACCCCTTGAGTGTGGCTCTTTCACAAAATACCACGTGCAGGCGCACGTACAGTGCAATTGAAAATTCTTGGCCCATGCGCAGAAGTCGGTTTTCGGCCTGGGGGAGTCTATTTTGAAGAAGTACTGTTGATATTTGGCTCTGTTGACTAATGAGTTTGCCGACCACTGGAGACAATGGGTAGCTTCCAGCACCAGTTGACCTACCTTTTTCCTCAGTCCTTTCTCCCAGTCCATTCAGGCACCATGTTCTGTCTAGTTTAATTTTTCACCTCTCATGATTAAAATTATTAATAATCTCTTGTTCATTTCACTCTCATCAAACACCATCCTAATTCCTTTACACTGTCACATAATTGGTCTTTCTAAAAATAGAATTATGATGATTTTTCTGCTTAAAATGTTTGAGTTGTTCCTAAAATCTGAGTATTCTAGCTTTGAGGATCGGCCCCATCTACCTTTCACCTTCTCTTGACTCCCAATTCCAGCTATGCCATTCCTTGGACACTGTGTTCCAGTAGTGCTGGTTTCCTTTCCGGTCATTCCAAATAATCTGCTGTTCTGTGCCTCCATGTCTTCTTTGACATGTTTTTCCAGCTTTCACCTTACCCCTGACAAAGTGATTTAGTCTTCAAACTTTACCCAAAGATAAGCCCTGACCAGGTAGCTTATCCTGATATGCAAGGTAACGGGTTCAATTCCTGGTCAGGGTACATATAAGCATCAGCCGATGAATGTATAAATTGATGTTTCTCTCTCTCTCCCTCCCTTCCTCTAAAATCAATTTAAAAATTTACCTAAAGTGAATATCATCTTGGTATAAATATTTGGTATGAATCACTATAACATATATACACCATTATAATAATTTATGTACTTTTTGTGCATTCCTCGACGGAATTCCTTATAACAGATTCCTAATTACCTTGTGTGTCCATTATTTAACATGGGATCTCACACATAGAAGATGCTTAGTAAATCTTTTCTAAATGAAATGTAGTACAACCCACTTATTTTATAGATGAGAAAAATGAGGCCCCGAGAAGTGACTTGTTAAAGGCTATCCACTAATTTGGTTAAAAATAATTATTAATAATGTTATTTGCATAGTATATATTTTATAATTGCTATTTTATTTTGTTCTTTTTTTCTGTGAACAAGGTTGTTATGATAAAACTGGGCTCTGGAGTCCAACTGGCTTTGATTCTTGAATCTTCCACCTATTTGGGCCTTGAACAAGATGTTTAAATTCTTTAAGCTTCAGTTTGCTCAGCTATAAGATGGTAATACTAATAGTTTTTATAGTATCATTGCAAAGAGTAAACTATATAATCTGAGAAAAGGGTTTATTTTTTATTTTATTTATTTATTTATTTTTAAATATATTTTATTGATTTTTTTACAGAGAGGAAGGGAGAGGGATAGAGAGTTAGAAACATCCATGAGAGAGAAACATCCACCAGCTGCCTCCTGCACACCCCCTACTGGGGATGTGCCCGCAACCAAGGTACATGCCCTTGACTGGAATGGAACTTCGGACTCTTCAGTCCACAGGCGGATGCTCTAGCCACTGAGCCAAACTGGTCAGGGCAGAAAAGGGTTTAGAACAATGTTTGGCCCAGAGTAGTCATTGTTGTGATTAGCATCTGTCACAGTTCATTGACCATAATGCCTCCTGGAAAAGGCATGAGATTTAGTTATTTAATTTATTTATTTAAATATATTTTATTGATTTTTTTTACAGAGAGGAAGGGAGAGGGATAGAAAGTCAGAAACATCAATGAGAGAGAAACGTCAATCAGCTGCCTCCTGCACACCCCCTACTGGGGATTTGCCCGCAACCAAGGTACATGCCTTTGACTGGATTCGAACCTGGGACCCTTCAGTCTGCAGGCCGACGCCCTATCCACCGAGCCAAACCAATCAGGGTGAGATTTAGTTATTATTACAAAACGGTTCTGGTTCTTTTGCAGGCAAGCTGACTGATAGAACAGCGAGCATTTTCCGAGGCAACCAAATGAAACTGAGGCTGGTCAATATTAAAAAGGCTAAAATCTCTACAGCTGCATTCATAAAAGCTTTCTGCCATCACAAACTCATTGAACTGGATGCTACTGCGGCGGACCCTGACCTCCCAATATCAGACATCCTGCATGGACTCTGCAGCAATAACTGGCTCCAGCAAAACCTCCAGTGTCTGGTATTGGACTCAACAAGCATCCGTCAAGATTCAAAACTACTGTTTGGTCAGCTCACTGGTCTTCGAGTTTTAAGTGTTTTCAATGTTTGTTTTCATAATGAAGACCTAGCTAATGTTTCGCAGTTACCAAAACTGGAAAGCTTGGATATCTCCAATACTCTGGTCACTGATATCTCTGCACTCCTTACCTGTAAGGATCGACTCAAATCTCTCAAAATGCACTACATGAAATGTCTAACCATGACCAAACCACAAATCCTCGCAGTCATTAAAGAACTTAAATGTCTGTTTCACCTTGATATTTCTAATCACAGGCAGCTCCAATCAGATCTAGCTTTTCATTTGCTGCAGCAGAAGGATATTCTACCTAATATCGTGTCACTGGATATTTCGGGGGGCAGTTGCATCACCGATGGAGCTGTGGAACTGTTTGTACGGCAGCGGCCTGCGATGCAGTTTGTGGGACTGTTGGCTACAGATGCTGGTTATTCCAACTTCTTTACTACACAGCAAGGCTTGAGGGTTTGTTCTTATCTGAAATAAGTTTGTTTCACTTGTTGAGAACATTATTAAACTTTTGTTGTATATGTGAATCTAATTTTAAACAATATATAGTTCTGGCCTCCATGTATGGTAGTCTAGCCTCTTGGGGATGCGTGCAGTCACTTATGCATCACCTCCTGTCTGCCAGATGTCGTGTGGTGCACATTGTTTCCTACTTTAATCCTCCCATTTTACAGTTGAGGGGATGGAAGCTCAGGGAGGTTAATCTACTTAGCCACAATCATAGAACTAACTACTAAATGGTATAGCTAGAGCCCTAGCCGGTTTGTTTGATAGAGCGTTGGCCCGAGGACTCAAGGGTCCTGGGTTTGATTCCGGTCAAAGGCATGTACCTCGGTTGCAGGCTCAATCCCTGGCCCTGGTCTGGGCATGTTTGATGTGTCTTTCTCACATTGATGTTTCTCTTTCTGTCTCTCCCCCTCCCTTCCACTGTCTCTAAAAAATCAATGGAAAAACATCCTCGGGTGAGGATTAACAAAAAAATATAATATAATAAAATAAAATAAAAGGTATAGCTAGAACTTATGTGAAAGTCTTTGTGACTCTAAAAACTTGTGTTCTTCACTTCTATTAACAGCTAAATATAATTACCAGGTGATTAACATGGTTAACACCATTTTTGGTTAAGTATGACATGAAGCAATATTAAAAGAGTCTTAAAAATTTTGAATGTTGTTGGAATAAGTTTATACCCTCTCCTGGTGCTATTTAAAAAATATTGTTCCACTTATTTATACAATCATTGGTGAATTCTTCTTTTTTATAAAGGTAATTTTTAAAAATCCTCACCCTAGGGCATGCTTTAGTTTTAGTTTTATTGATGAGAGAGCGAGACAGAGAGACAGAGAGAGACGTCGATGTGAGAGACACATCAATCGGTTGCCTCCCGTAAGCACCCACACTGGGACCCAACCTGAAACTTGAAACCTTGGCATATCTGGACGATTCTCTAACCAACTGAGCTACCTGGTCAGGACCTCATGGTGCTATTTTTATTTTTTTAAAATATATTTTTATTGATTTTTTCAGGGAGGAAGGGAAAGGGATAGAGAGCTAGAAACATCGATGAGAGAAGCATTCGATCAGCTGCCTCCTGCACATCTCCCACTGGGGATCGAGCCCACAGCCCAGGCATGTGCCCTTGGCCAGAATTGAACCCGGGGCCCTTCAGTCTGAAGGCTGACACTCTATCCACTGAGCCAAACTGGTTAGGGCAGTGCTAGTTTTAAAGCAGCATATATTTAAATATTTATGTTCTAGAATATTTTTTATTTTTATTTTATTTTTTATTTTTTTAATTGCTTAAAGTATTACAAAGGGTATTACATATGTGTTAGAATATTTTTAAAAAGTGATTCTCTTCCTCAATTGTACATTTTAATAACTTTGGGAGCTTTAAAATATACTGATACTTTTGTTCTGTCCCCTAGAGATGTAATATGTTTGGGATTTGGTCTAGGCATCAAGATTTTAAAAAGCTGCCAGTAATTCTAATGTGCAGCTAAGGTTCAGAACCATGCCTTAAAAAGAATCCTTCCTTTATGGTTATACCTTACGTAATTCGTCTAGGACGAGAGAGTAAAGTGATTTGCAGTCATTGGTTTTTATATTTTCCTTTAACTGGAAAACAGCAATTGTATTTTAAAGTCCTTTTAATTTTCTGGCATCTCTAATGAAGGTGGAAGTCATCAGTTACATCATTAGGCTTGCAACAGAGAGATAATTTGAACTCTTAGATTAAGTATGTACAGTAGAGAATTGTTTATCTGGAATGTATAGGTATGCCTGTTTAGCATTTAATATCACAGTGATCAAAAGACCACAGTTGTGCCCTAACCGGTTTGGCTCAGTGGATAGAGCGACGGCCTGTGGATTGAAGGGTCCCAGGTTCGATTCCGGTCAAGGGCATGTACCTTGGTTGCGGGCACATCCCCGGTAGGGGGTGTGCAGGAAGCATCTGATGGATGTTTCTAACTCTCTATCACTCTCCCTTCCTCTCTATAAAAAATCAATAAAATATATTAAATAAAAAAAAAGACCACAGTTGTAAAAATAGATTTTAGTGCATAAACTCTTGGGATATGCAATACTATGGGATAAATACTGAAGTATTCTATAGAGAGATAATGCATGTAGTTAAGATACTAACCACCAAAGCAGGAAATGGGAAATAAGTTTTGTTTCAGTAAACTTATCTGGTATACATGTAAATGTAGTTTATTTTGAAAACGTTAAATTATGCATTATATACAGTGTTGGATATTAGGGGATAGAGAGTAGAGACCATAATCTCTTTCCATTACTAAGGAATTATAAAGAGCATAATTCAGCCTTATGCAGAGTGGAAGGTATGGTAAGTTTAAAAGGTGTGTTTCTTTTTTTAAAAAAAATATATACATATTTATTTTATTTTAATATATTGTTAATTGATTTCAGAGAGGAAGGGAGAGGGAGAAAGACTGAAACATTAATGATGAGAGAGAATCACTGATCAGCTGCCTCTGCACTTCCCACACTGGGGATCAAGTCTGCAACCTGGGACCCTTCAGTATACAGGCTGACGCTCTATCCCAGGGGTGGGCAAACTTTTTGACTCGAGGGCCACAATGGGTTCTTAAACTGGACCGGAGGGCCGGAACAAAAGCATGGATGGAGTGTTTGTGTGAACTAATATAAATTCAAAGTAAACATCATTATATAAAAGGGTACGGTCTTTTTTTTTTTTTTTTTTAGTTTTATTCATTGCAAGTGGGCCGGATCCAGCCCGCGGGCCGTAGTTTGCCCACGGTTGCTCTATCCACTAAGCCAAACCACCTAGGGCATTAAATATATATTTATTAATGTCAGAGAGGAAGGGAGAGGGAGAGAGAGAGAAACATCAGTGATGAGAGAGAATCACTGATCGGCTGTCTCCTGGACCCCCCCCCCCCCACACACACACACACTGGGGATCAAGCCCGCAACCTGGGCATGTGCCCTTGACTGGAATTGAACTTGGGACCCTTCAATCCGCAGGCCGACACTCTATCCACTGAGCCAAATCAGCTAGGGCTAAAAGGTGTGTTTCAGAAAATCTTTTATTTACTAGAAATGCATGTCTTTTAAGTTAGATGCAAAATATAATAAGTATTCTTATTTGGGTTGATAAAAAATTTGCCTACATTAAAATGGATAAAAAATTAAATGTTAGTGAAAACCTTCAAACAGAACAAGTATGTTAATTCTTGTACGCAAAATTAGAATGGTAAACATATACTTAGTTCTTTTAAAATGGGTGAATAAGAGACAGATTTCCAGTTATAAAATAAATAAGTCACAGGGATGTAATGTACAGCATAAAGAATCCTGTATAACAGGGGTCCTCAGACTTTTTAAACAGGGGGCCAGTTCACTGTCCTTCAGACCGTTGGAGGGCCAGACTATAGTTAAAAAAAAACTCTGAACAAATTCCTATGCACACTGCACATATCTTATTTTGAAGTAAAAAAACGAAACGGGAACAAATACAATATTTGTATTTGCATGTGGCCCGCGGGGCCGTAGTTTGAGGACCCCTGCTATATAATAAAAGGGTAATATGCAAATCGACCTAACGGTGGAATGACCGGTTGCTATGACCCTCACTGACGACCAGGGGAAGATGCTCAACGCAGGAGCTGCCCCCCGGTGGTCAGTGTGCCAGAAGCCGGGCTCACTGCTGGTGAGAACAGCAGTGGTGGCGGGAGCCTCTCCTGCCTCTGCGGCAGCGCAAAGGACATCCATGGGGAGTGGGTCTAAACTGTCAGTCGGACATCTCCCCAGGGGCTCCTGGATTGCAAGAGGGTGCAGGCTGGGCTGAGAGCTGACCACCCCCTCACCCCAACCTAAACCCGTCCAGTGCACTAATTTCATGCACCGGGCCTCTAGTATCTCTGTAATTTAATCTGGAAGAGTTTCTTAGTCCTTACTGTCCTTTTGACATTGATGTTTTTGAAGAATACAGACAAGCTTTGTTTTGTTAGCATTTTTTAAAATTTTAGATATATATTTTTATTGATTGGTTAAGTTTAGAGAGAAAGAGTGAAACATTGATTTGTTCCACTTTTGTATGCATTCACTGGCTGTTTCTTTTATATGTCCTGACTGGGGATCGAACCCACAACCGTGGCATATCAGGATGACACTAACCAACTGAGCTACCTGGCTGGGCCAATTGTTGGCATTGTTGAAGAATGTTCCTCATTTTGGCTCTAATGTTTCAAACACTTGAGGCCCCTAAAAGCCTATACTTGAGGATGAACAGTGAAACCTATTGGTAACATCTTTGTTTTTTAGGTTGCTGGAGGAGCCAATGTGATTCAGATTTCAGAAGCATTGAGCCAGTACAGGGATAGGTCATGTTTTATGAAGGAAGCCCTCTACAGACTTTTTGCAGAGACGTTTTCAATGCAGGCAACCATGCCTGCTGTTTTAAAAGTAAGTACATCCCAGAAAGGTAGTTTTTGTTTGTTTGTTTGAAAAGTAGAGCCATGATTTGTCTGTCTGTGTATCTATCTATCTATCTATCTATCATCTATCTATGTATCTACTGACTTTTTTAGAGAGGAAGGGAGAGAGAAACATCAATCTGTTGCCTCGTGTACATGCCTCGACGAGGATTGAATTCCACCACCTTTTGGTATACGGATGACACTCAAACCAACTGAACCACACATGTAGTTTTTATTATTACTACTTACTCGATTCTTACTTGATTCAATTAAAGTTGTTCACTACACACATTGAATACAGTAACTTACATGCCTCATTCTATAGTGAATCAAAATGCCCTTATAGAGAGAGGAAAATAGGTTTAACTGCCAGGTTAGCTCTCATTTTGAGTATTGGAATCAATTTGAATTATTCAGTTTTTTGAACTTAGTCTGAGAAAGGCATATAGGACTATGGCACTATTTTGCCTAAAACAGGACTCATTTATCTAGAAACATGAATTCACTTTTCCCTAAATGTTGTGTTTTATTTTTCATTCATTTACTCTTTAAGAATCTAACATCTGGTTTTCTGAAAACAGTAACAATATCTCCAGTAAGAACAGGACAAAATAACAATAATTGAAGGTGGCCAAAACTCCCATTTAAAGTATTTGTTGAATGAAGTAAAATTACCAGTATTGATAGGGCCAGACCTTGCTTTGGTTTATGGAAGTGTGAATTTATTTTAAATGTAATTGGAAGTATTAAGTGGTTTGGGAAAGAAAACTGTGATTATTTAAAATTAAGTGACATATGAAAATAAAGAGTCTTAAAGTCACCTTGTCTTTATTATTTGCAATTCTTTGCAGTTCCTTAAAACTATGCCTATTTTGTACCATGGCAGATTAGGTTTAAGTCATACCTTATAAACAACACTATATAAAGGAAAGACTCTGGACCTTTATTTCCCATCTGTAATGAGATTGAATTGGATGTTCTGAAAGTCCTTTTCTATCTAAGAATCTGTGATTTTTGAAAACCCTGTTTCTTTTGGTTTCTACATACTTAAATTGCAGATGATGATAACCCAATGAAATCCTGAGAGCAGTTTAGCAATATAGAAAAAGTCATTTTCCATAGTGAAAGTAAGTCCATCCTTAGGCTCCATGAGTTCACGCAGCTGTCAAAGTGAGGGGCTCTGGTCTCTTAAAATCATGGTTCATGTGAGTATTAGCAGACCTATTGCTAAGGAGATGAATCTCCCTATTCAAAAAAAAGAAAGATTTTAGAGGAAAGGAGAGAGAGAGAAAAAGAACGAGAGAAACATCAATGTGAGAGAAACTTGGATCGGTTGCCTCCCAGTCGTGCCCTGAGTGGGGATTGAACCAACAAGCTGGGTATGTGGCCAACCGGGATTGTACCCACCATCCTTTGGTGCGTGGGATATCGGCCAGGCCAGGGCTGGTTATCCGTATTTGATAGACAAAACAAATCACATTGTCCCTGAATGTTAGAGTAGGTATGGTCTAAGTGTGGTACAACACTTTCATTTTACATTTGGTTTCTAGGTCTTTCATAGTCTGTCTTCTAGTTGGCATTTTACCACTTTTCAAATTCTTTCAAATTCAAATTTCTTCCTCTGTGGGTAGAATCCATCTCTTAGTCCACCTTGTGTTTTTCCCTGTCACATTTCCCTTCCCCAGGAATTTCTTCTCCATTCCACCCCTACCTGCATCTGCTTCTGTCCATATCCTATCTGAGACCTTTGCCTAAAGATGCTTTTGGAATTAAGCTCTTTGATACCATTCCAGAAGTAATTGCTCCTTCCATAACTACCCAAGGCAGCTCTGCACTTTATTTATACTTCTTTTTATATTGCTTTTCTTGGGGGGTGGGGGGGTCATGTTTTGACATCTTTCACAATGTTACTTGTTTCCATATCTTGTCTCACAAGGCTTTATGCTAAGCATTAGGGTATAAGTGTTTATGTCTCCTGGAGTGCTTATCGCAATGCTTAAACTGGAGTGAGGCTAACCAAGTGATTATGAAATCACAGATGAGGAAATGGTGGTCCAGAGAAGGGAAATGACTTGCCCAAAGCCACACAGCTAGTTAGTGACTGCATTTGGACTAGGACTAGAGCAGCGGTTCTCAACCTGTGGGTCGCGACCCCTTTGGGGGTCGAACGACCCTTTCACAGGGGTCGCCTAAGACCATCAGGAAACACATGTATAATTACATATCATTTTTGTGATTAATCACTATGCTTTATGTTCAATTTGTAACAATGAAATTGGGGGTCACCACAACATGAGGAACTGTATTAAAGGATCGAGGCATTAGGAAGGTTGAGAACCACTGGACTAGAAGGTATTGCTAATGATCTAAAAATAAATGTGGAGGATAGAGAAAATCTGTTACTTTCCCAGTGAGCAAATATTTTTCTGACTAGCGTAAAAATGAGATAGTATAAAGAATGCTAATGTTGTCATAAGCCACTAAAAATACGTTCATCTTTAGCTTGTGGCTGTAGGAATGAGGAACCATCCATTGGATTTGCCAGTGCAGTTCACAGCCAGTGCTTGTGCCCTCAACTTAACACACCAGGGCCTGGCCATGGGAATGCCTGTTCGTCTGTTGTCAGAGGTCACCTGTCTACTTTTCAAGGCTTTGAAAAATTTCCCTCATTATCAGCAGGTAATTTAAATTGAATACTTGACTCTGCTTCTTACTTCAGGACAAATATATGAAAAATGTGTATTTTTTAGTTCTGAGTTTTCATCCTATTAGAGCAGCGGTTCTCAACCTGGGGGTCGCGACCCCTTTGGCGGTCGAACGACCCTTTCTCAGGGGTCGCCTAAGACCATCCTGCATATCAGATATTTACATTACGATTCATAACAGTAGCAACATTACAGTTATGAAGTAGCAACGAAAATAATTTTATGGTTGGGTCACAACATGAGGAACTGTATTTAAAGGGCCAGAAGGTTGAGAACCACTGTATTAGAGACAGAGAGACAGAGAGAGGGAGAGAGAGAGAAAATAAGGAATTAATGTTAAATGTAAGTGTTAAAACCATAAAATTTCTAGAAGAAAACATAAGGAGAAAATATTTGTGACCCTGGAGTAGTCAAAGTTTTCTTAGGATATAAAAAGCACACATCATAAAAGTAAAATAAATTAGAATTCAAAAAATTAAGCATACACACACTGAAAAACATTAAAAAATGAAAAGGTAAGCCATGGACTGGGAAAAATGTTCATTATATGGGGGAGGCGGGGGTGCGGCAAAAGTAGGTTTACAGTTGTGAGTACCTGAAGCAGAATTTAGTCGTTTTTTAAAAATATATTTCTTATTGTTGATAGTATTACAGGTGTTTCCCATTCTCCCCTTTGCTCACCTCCTCCCAGCCCTTACCCACCCCTCTAGGTCCTCACTACCCTATTGTCCATGTTCATGGACTATGCATATAAGAATGTAAGTTCGGTTTATCTCTTGCACAGAGTTTATTCTTGTATTATTATTTATTAATTGTATCATTTTCCATGTGAACAACTAAACCTACTTTTGCCCCACCCTATATATATTTCAAAGGTCTTTTATCCAGAATATAAAGAACTCTTTTTTAAAAATATATTTTTTTTATTAATTTCAGAGAGGGGGAGAGAGAAACGTCAATGATGAGAGAGAATAATTGATCGGCTGCCTCCTGCACGCCCCCCACTGGGAATTGAGCCTGCAACTTGGGCATGTGCCCTTGACCGGAATGGAACCTGGGACCCTTCGGTATGCAGGCCGACATTCTACCCCTGAGCCAAACCGGCTAGGGCTGGATATAAAGAACTCTTAATTCAGTAACACAAAATAAACTAATTTTTATTTTTTAAAAATATATTTTATTGATTTTTTACAGAGAGGAAGGGAGAGGGATAGAGAGTTAGAAACATCGATCAGCTGCCTCTTGCATTCCCCCAACTGGCGATGTGCCCGCAACCAACGTACATACCCTTGACCAGAATCGAACCTGGGACCCTTGAGTCCACAGGCCAATGCTCTATCCACTGGGCCAAACCGGTCAGGGCAATAAACCAATTTTTAGAAAAGGCAAAAGATTTGAAAAGACATTTCACCAAAGAAGATAGGCAGGTGACAAATGAGCACATGAAAAGATGCTTAGTATCTTTAGTCAGTAGAAATGCAGATGAAAGCCACAATGAGTTGTTATTGTACAACCCCTAGATTGGTTGAAATTAAAAGACTGACAATACAAAGTGTTGACAAGGATGTGGAACATATGAAATTCTCATATATTGATGTTAAGAATGTAAAATGTTACAACTACCAGTTCCACAGTCTTTAAAAGTTAAGATATACACCTTCTATACTACCCAGTCATCCTACTCTTAGAGAAAGGAAAGTATATATCCATATAAACACTTACACACAACTGTTCATAATATCTTTTTTTTTTAAAATATATTTTATTGATTTTTTACAGAGAGGAAGGGAGAGAGATAGAGAGTTAGAAACATCGATGAGAGAGAAACATCGATCAGCTGCCTCCTGCACATCTCCTACTGGGGATATGCCCGCAACCCAGGTACATGCCCTTGACCGGAATCGAACCTGGGACCTTTCAGTCCGCAGGCCGACGCTCTATCCACTGAGCCAAACCGGTTTCGGCTGTTCATAATATCTTTATTCATAATCCCCCAAAACTGAAAACTTCCCAAATGTCCAACAGCAGGTGAATAAACAATTATGATATATTCATATGAGGAAATACACATATTGGCAGTAAAAAGGAATGAATACTGGTTGAAGTACATGGATGAATCTCAAAAATATTATATGCTGAGCAAAAAGCCAGACACAAAAGAGTAGATATTATATTATTTCATTTATGTGAGAACTTAGAACAGACTAAAGTGTGATGTCAGTGTAATTTTCCGGGGCTGGGGTTTGCAAGGCCAGGATTGATGAGAAGGGGCAAAGGGGAGCTCTCTGTGGTGATATAGTTTTTTTCCTTGATTATGATGGTGGTGTGGGGGTAGTGGTTACACAGCTGTATAAATTTGTCAGACTGATGAAATGTGTACTTAAAATAGAACAAAAAAGGTGGTCTTCATTAAAATCTTTCTCCATTTCTACTTTCTCTTAAAAAGTTGGAAGATCCTTCTCAATTCAGTCTTTTTTTTTTAACATTTTGTATGCACATCTAATACTTTATTAGGTGTGAATTTCAAGCTCTAAAGTTATTAAAAGCAAATACTATCATCCAATAAAGTTAAGTAGACTGTAATACCGCTTCCATTTTTAGACTTCTGTCCTGGTTTCTTCTTTGAGGCAGCTGCTTCAGGGGGGTGAGGGGGTGTTGGAGGGGGGGGAGGTCGTTTAGTAACTGGGACAGGTTCTACTTTTTTGCTTGGAATCTTTGATACATCACTTTCTTTGGTGACCTGCTCTTCTAGTACAGGCTTGTGTTTCTTTTCCTTCTTTTTGTCTTCCTCTAACACCACTAGAAGTTTCAACCACATTCAGTGGAACAGGTACAAGTTGCTCATCTTCTACAGCCAAGGCATCAGATAATTTAAAGTCCCAGGGTACACTCTCAGAACCGGATTCATGAAGGCTCCCATTCTGGATTTCTTTCTTTTTCTTCTTTATCTGTTCTGCCTTCTTTTTATCTGTTCTGGTAGGAATAGCTTTTGTTCTCTCTTCTGTTTTGGAAGAACTTCATCATATAATGTTTCTTTCATGAAAAGCCAGAAGAAGAGGAAAATTACTGTAGTAACTATGAAGGAATAAGAACAATAAAATACGTTGACTCATAAAACTCCATCATGCTTTTGTTAATGTGATCCTATGAAGCCCTGCGCAGAAGACGCAATGGCAGCAGGACAGCTGACCACCAGCTCTGAGGTGCCGCCACCGCCGTTGTGCTGCCGGGCCTCAATTCAGTCTTAAGTTCTGCATGGCAGTTGTCAGTTGGGGCTGAGTAACAACTGCCCTTATAAGAGGGCGTGAATCGCCCAGTTTGTCATTATTCCTACCACTCTCCTGTTATTTCACACTCAACCTCCTTCACTTGTTTATGTTACTGCCTAGTTCCTGTTGGCATTTCAGGTTTCTGACCTGCCTCATACACTATATTTTTGTCATACTGGCCTCCTCATGGCTTTTCAAAGACATGTTACATTTCTCTATTTCTGTAGCTTTCCCAGGAGGCCTTCTTCTTTTCCTATCTGTAAAGGCCCAGTTCAACCCCTACCAGTCTTATGTAGAAAGTAGAAGTTCTAGCATAGATCCTAGTAGTTATTGGATATGGTGTAGACATCGATTAGTAGATGCACTAGGCTTCAGATAATTGATTGGGACTGACATACATGCAGCCACTTTAGTGCCCCCCCCTCCCCAAGAAAGAGGGGGGGGAGGATTGTTCTTTAGGCAAAGGTGCATGTGATAGAGTTTATTGGTAAGGTTAAATGAAGAACTTGGAGAGGGCCAGGTGCACAGAAAGGCTCATTGGTAGCACCTTCCAAATGCATAGAACCCTTAGAATCGAGTACACATTTACTCAAAATTAATTTTCTTTATTCCCTTAAAGTTGCAAAAGAATTGTCTTCTCTCCTTAACCAATGCCAGGATTCTTGTGGATGTTCCATTTGACAGGCAAGTATAAATTTTGATCATTTGATTTTGGGGTGTTGGCCAGTGTCACTCTGAGCATTGTTGGCTTTTGGGTTATTAGCTTAGCAAGGAGGGTCTGATTAAGGCTGGGGTTCGGTGTTTGGGGAGAATGCTCTGTTGAGCCTCTTCCCCAGAGGTGATTGGAAGTACCTTGTCTGCAAATGTCATTTCCCTAAATGTGATTTCAGTTCAGAGCTTCAGAGTAGTAAAACCTGGGGCTCCAGAGAGTCAAACATACTTTAATTCAAGCTGTAGCCCTTTCATGATCTGTGCCTGAGTTTTCTCATTTGTAAAATGTGACTTATGAGGATTAGATATAATGTTTGTGAAGAACTTAAAACAGTGCCTCGCTTAAGAAGTACAGGTTGTTCTAAACATTGCTCATTCTTTTCGTTATTATTTTATTGATAGTAATTTTAAAACATCCTCATCCTAGACTCCATAGGGATTCCTATTGAAGCCTTTGTAATCTCTCAGATTCATGAGTTCAAAAACATTTATAATAGTTGCTGCCAACAGCTTAGTTTCTCATGAACAAAGCCTGTGGCTTATGGGTGCTGGGATAGGCTAAGCCATTCACAAATCTAATTGAAAATGTGTACTTGCAATGGGAGTTGACTTTTAAAAATACAATAGGGAAAGTGGTTCTCCTCATTAAAAAAAAAAAAAAATCTCTGTTTCTACCTTCTCTTGAAAACTTGGAGGATCTTTCTTAACTCAGTCTACTACACTCCTAAATGATCAGAGCTGAAGAACGGCTGCCCCTATAAAAGGGTGTGAATTCTCTCTAGCTAAATTGATTTGCTTGCTGTGTCTACAGTTCAGATTACAAATTACTACTTCTCTTGGAACTTCTTTTTCAGGCTCATCATAGTAGAAACTGAATGCTAGAAAAGAAATCTTTCTTTTTTTTTATTTCAGAGAGGAAGGGAGAGGGAGAGAGAGATAGAAACATCAATGATGAGAGAGAATCATTGATTGGCTGCCTTCTCCATACTCCCTACTGGGGATCAAGCCTGCAACCTGGGCATGTGCCCTTGACCAGAATCAAACCTGGTCAGTCCGCAGGCCAATGCTCTATCTACTGAGCCAAACTGACTAGGGTACAATAAATCTTTCTTAAATCTGCTCATCTTTCTTTGAATCCTGTGCATTTTGCTCACATTCTTATTTGCATGCTGTCTTCTTCTGATCTCTTTTTGCCAAATGCTCTTGGTTTTCATAGCTGAGGCTATAGAAGTTGAGACTTTTTATTACAGGATTATAGGGGTAGGTTAAGTGGTTTCTTTCCTCATATACAGTTTTACAAACTTTATTGTGAGAAAATTACTGCTTTTCAGGTTTGATGCTGCCAAATTTGTGATGAGATGGCTCTGTAAGCATGAAAACCCCAAGATGCAAACAATGGCAGTGAGCATCACCTCTATTCTGGCCTTGCAGGTATGTGATTGCTAAAGGCAAGATCTCTTTCCCCTTAGTTCTGATGGAGCTTTGATGGAGATCTGATATTTCACTGTCAGCTTTTTGTTTGCTTACAGCTCTCAAGTGAGCAAACTGCACAACTTAAAGACGAGCTCCTCAGGGCAGTTAAGGTAGGTTGTTTGTCACTTTTACCATTTTTTTCAGTGAAAGTAATTTATGAACATACTTTATAAAATCAGATCATTCTATAAGGCCTAAAAAATGAAAAATCTGTAAGACCTGCTCCTCAGAAGAAATTACTGTTACAGCTTTTTCTTGTGGTATTTACCTTCACATCTCTGAATAAAATGCTTATTTAGTAACTGCAATTAAAAAACTTTTTTTGTGAATTCTTGAGTGATTAGTTTTAGATGTTATCTAGTGATTCTACTGCTATGGTAAATAAGAACTTAGCTCTTCTGTATATATTTCTACAAATTACCTCCACCCTCAACCCCACAAACTTATATCACAATTTTAATAAATCAGTAACTTAAGAGTTTGCTCATTATGCTAACATTATTTACATAAAAATATACATTGTTTTCTTTTGCACTTATTTTAAGATGAGGCTTGAACCTTTTTTTTTTTTTTTAATTTAAGAATTTTATATCCTGAGAACTGTCTATGCATAGCCTTATATTCTGGGTTATTGGCTTTTTTCAAATATATAGTTTTGTTTTTTTTAAAAAAATTCTCTTTAGCCCTAGCTGGTTTGGCTCAGTGGATAGAATGTCGGCTTGGGGACTGAAGGGTCCCAGGTTCGAGTCCAGCCAAGGGCACATGCCTGGGTTGTGGGCTCGATCCCCAGGGGGGGACGTGCAGGAGGCAGCCAATCAATGATTCTCTCTCATCATTGATGTTTCTATCTCTCTCTCTCTCCCTCTCCCTTCCTCTCTAAAATCAATAAAATATAAGAAAAAAAAATTCTCTTTATTGTTGAAAGTATTTTTATCCCCATTGGCCCTCTCCTCCCCAGCTCCGCCCCCTCCCCAGGCCTTCACCTCATTATTGTTTGTGTCCATGGGTAATGCATATATACATATACGTTCTTTGATTAATCCCCCCCCCCCCCGCCCCCCTTCTTTCTGAGAATCGTCAGTCTGCTGCATGCTTCCATGTCTCTGGATTTATTTTGTTTGTCAATTTATTTTGTTCGTTAGATTACATATATAAGTGAGATCATGTGATATTTGTATTTTATGATCATAGGACTATTTTTGAAAAGAGGGAAAAATAGATAGCAAAAGGCAAGATAGAAGGAAATAATTTTGGTGTTAAATCTTTGTGTGTGTATAGGAATTGTATATAGAGCAGAAGTAAACCTCTTGGCTTTAGATTGGAGCAGAAAGGATGACAGATACATCGATGCAAGTACAAGTAGGTTGGTAGGTGTTTTTAGGAAGAATAGTTATAGTTCTCAGTGAAAAATTAGATAAAGTGGGGATGGGTGGGTGGGTGGGTGGATGGATGGGTGGGTGAGTGGATGGATGGGTGGGTGAGTGGATGGGTGGATGGATGGATGGATGGATGGATGGGTGGGTGAGTGGATAGGAAAATGCCTGAATCATCTTCATGCCTGAATCACCAGCTCTGACTCATCCTTGAAAACCCCCCAGCACTTGCTCTGTTTATGAAGCTGTTATCTCCATATCTAAAGGGATTTTACACAAGGAAACAAAAAGTCATTCACTAAAACACAAGAGCAAGCAACAGTTGCCATCAGATTTTGAAAAATTAAATTAGGAAAACACAGTAAAAAAAAAAAATTAGATAAAGTGATCAAGTGAGAAAAGTAAAGAGATAGTGATTACAGTTTGAGGAGAGAGAATTATGAAATAGTAGTCTTTAGAGAAAACTCATTGAGAAATATAGGATTGCCAGGGACAATGAAATACCCTTTTGAAATTTTTTGTGAGATAATGAAAGGGAGGCTCAAGCACATCTTTTTCAATATTCAGAATTTTGGGGATGGGGCATGAAGTAGGATTTAACCAAGGTAGGAGTTTTGCCAAGATGATGTGATGGAGGAACATTGAAGTTGTTGGGAATGATAACAGGAGTAGAGGTAGAGGTGGAGAAATAAAGCTATGGATATAGATAGGGAGCAAGTACGGAAAGTGACACAGAGGGAAGAATAGCACTGTAGTTCTTGGAGAAATAGTTTTAGGTTGTTCCGGCTTTAGAAGAGAACAAACCAGATTTTCAGCCACAAGCCAGAAGAGCTTAGATAAGTCACTTATCTTTGTGCCTCAGATTCTTCATCTGAAAGCTAGCTTCATCTGAAAAACAGACTCTGTCATAGGAGTGAGACTGTATTTCTGAGTATCATTAAGGTAAAATATGTAAAACATCTAACCTTAGGCTTGGCCACAGTCGTTACTTTCAGGGTCAGCCTCACGTCCCCTGCTCCCTCCCTTGTCTTGCTACCCTTCACTCTATTGACTGTCTAGGTCAGGGGTCCTCAGACTTTTTAAACAGGGGGCCAGTTCACTGTCCCTCAGGCCGTTGAAGGGCCAGACTATAGTTTTTAAAAAAAAACTATGAACAAATTCCTATGCACACTGCACATATCTTATTTTTTTTTTCTTTTTTCCATATTTTCTTTTTTTATTATTATTAAATCTTTATTGTTCAGATTATTACATTTGTTCCTCTTCCCCCCCCCCCATAACTCCCCTCCTTCCAGTTCCCACCCCACCCTCCGCCCTCACTCCCCACCCACTGTCCTCATCCATAGGTGCTCGATTTTTGTCCAGTCTCTTCCCGCATCTCCCACACCCCTTTCCCTCCAAAGAATAGTCAGTCCATTCCCTTTCTATGTCCCTGATTCTATTATAATCACCAGTTCATTCTGTTCATCAGATTATTTATTCACTTGATTCTTAGATTCACTTGTTGATAGATGCATATTTGTTGTTCATAATTTGTTTCTTTACCTTTTTCTTCTTCCTCCTCTTCTTAAAGGATACCTTTCAGCATTTCATATAATACTGGTTTGGTGGTGATGAACTCCTTTAGCTTTTCCTTATCTGTGAAGCTCTTTATCTAACCTTCACTTCTGAATGATAGCTTTGCTGGATAAAGTAATCTTGGTTGTAGGTTCTTGGTATTCATCACTTTGAATATTTCTTGCCACTCCCTTCTGGCCTGCAAAGTTTCTGTTGAGAAATCAGCTGACAGTCGTATGGGTATTCCCTTGTAGGTAACTGAGTTTCTTTCTCTTGCTGCTTTTAAGATTCTCTCTTTGTCTTTTGCTCTTGGCATTTTAATTATGATGTGTCTTGGTGTGGTCCTCTTTGGATTCCTTTTGTTTGGGGTTCTCTGCGCTTCCTGGACCTGTAAGTCTATTTCTTTCACCAGGTGGGGGAAGTTTTCTGTCGTTATTTCTTCAAATAGGTTTTCAATATCTTGCTGTCTCTCATCTTCTGGCACCCCTATAATTCTGATGTTGGTACGCTTGAAGCTGTCCCAGAGGCTCCTTACACTATCGTCGTATTTTCGGATTCTTTTTTCATTTTGCTTTTCCGGTTGGGTGTTTTTTGCTTCTTCGCATTTCAAATCATTGACTTGATTCTTGCGCTCCTCTGGTCTGCTGTTGGGAGTCTGTATAGTATTCTTTATTTCAGTCCGTGTATGCTTAATTTCTAGTTGGTTCTTTATCATAACATCGAGGGTCTCATTAGATTTCTTGTAGATCTCATTAAGTTTATCGGCGGCTTCTAAACAGTTCTTGAGAGACCTTAAAAGTGTGGTTCTGAACTCTATATCTTCCATTGACAATTTTGTCCTGTTTCTTTGTCTCCGCATTTTTTATGCTTTCTTGGTGCACCCCCTAGTGGTCTTTGTGCGCAGTCTTGTTGTAGTTAAGCCTTGATTGTTGTAGTTAATACTGGGGGGATTTGACCTCCAGACCAACTGGCTGTGAGAATCAGCTGTGTCTGCAGTGGGAAAACTTCTGTCCTCTGGGGAGGTGCTAATCTAGCCTTTGCCTGAGGCTATCCGGCAAATGGCTCTGTGCAGGGCTTGGGCGGGGAGGGGCGGGTCGCACGGGATCAACAGGGCGGGTGGGGGGAGCAGTTATGGCTGCTCTCAGTCCCGTCCCGGGGGCTCTGCCTCTCAGAGTCCCAGCAACCGCTGCAAACCTTGGAGAGAAAGCTGCCCTCGTTCCAACCGATGCCAGACAGTCCCGCTTCTCCTGTTTGAGTCTGGATCCCTAGAGACTCGCCCAGAACTGGAGCTCAGGGCCTGAGCCTCCCTCCGGATTGAAACCGACAACCGCGCCCTCAGCCACCAGCCCGCTCCGCGCACACCTCCGCACCTTTGTATTTTCCACACTGAGCCCCCTCTGAGTCACGGTATGCTGTTCTCTTTCCTTCTAGTTGAAGAATTTCCCCGCAGCCAGCTTTCCTGTGGTTCTGGGTGATGTCCGTTCCATCTTTTAGTTGTATTTTTGAAGTGGTTGTGTGAGGCAGCATTCTCTGGTGTTTACCTATGCCGCCATCTTGGTTCTCCCCCACATATCTTATTTTGAAGTAAAAAAACAAAACGGGAACAAATACAATATTTGTATTTGCATGTGGCCCGCGGGCCGTAGTTTGATGACCCCTGGTCTAGGTGATGGCTACCAGTGTTGTGTGCCTTGCTTATATTATCTTGGCTCTCACAGCTTTATTTTTGCAATGAACTCTCTTTATATATTCTATCTTAGTTGGGTAAAATATTTGAGATCACCTCATTCCTTCTGAAAACAGATATTCTGATTTGTTTCGTGCTGTTATATTTTATGTATTTTTCATTTACTGGTTACTTGACAATGGCTGTCTTTTTCCTCTCACATGATATTCTAATATGCTTGAAAGAAAGCATAAATACCAGCTTAACTATGTCCAGAAATGTTCTGAACTGAAATGGTATGTTGGAATATCTGTTAATGAGAGCCAATGGTTTCTTTCAAACTATTAGGGACATAATGGTTATGTTAGTTTTACCCTCTAGCCATACTGACTGTTCAGTGGCCTGGAACAGCACCCTTTTTCTTTGCCTGGCATAGGCTCTCCCCCCACCTCTTCTCTGTGTTCCCATTCCTTTCCTGGTTGGCAACCTCTTTTTCTTTTGTCTCAGTTGATATATTACCTTGGTATTGAAACGTGGGGTTGAGGGTGCAGATTCTTTTGTGGGTCCTTGTCCTCATGAAGTTTGAAGAATAAACTCTCGGACTAAGATTTTTTAATAAAAATGCAAATGTTTATTGGAAGCATATACAAATTCCATCTAGGCAGGGAGAATACCCAAAGGAGAAAAGCCTGCTTCCTCTCTCTCTCTCTCTCTCTCTCTCATGGGGAAAAATCTGAAATCTGCTGAATCTCTTTGTCTCCGGGTTTACAAAGGCAGCAGTTTTTTGTCTGGACCTGACCGTTTCTAATTGGACCTTTCCTTAATTTAGGAACCCCTTGCTTTCCTCATTTGGTCATTCTGCTACGTAGTATTAGTTTCAGAGCTCAAAGCCCTTCACATATCTATCTTACCTGTTCAGGTTGTTGGAGTTGAATTTTATCTCCTTTATGGCTCTCAGTTGTCTTGGCTGGAGATGTTTTATTATTCCTTGTGGCTCTCCCAGCGACTCAGGTCAGGGCTGCGCTTTTTTTGGTATGTGTGTGTTTGACATTTATTTTTATTAATTGCAAAGAGAAAAGGATTCAAGACATAGTTCTTAGTGTGAATTAGTCCTCTACTTCCTTAGGCTTTTCTCTTTTTTTAAAATTTATTGTCTAAAGTTTTATATATGTCTCCTTTTTAGATCAGGGCTGCTTTTGCTCTACCTAGGGTTGTTTTAATTGCTCAGGCCAAAGATACCTCTGTCCTTCCTGGACCCCCTCTTCCTGTGTGCCTAATTAAGCTAGCTAGCTAACCCTTCTCAGTATGGAGGCTCCTTTCTCCCATGTTTTCGAAGTAAATTCTTTTTTAAACAAATTATTATTTTATTGATTTCAGAGAGGAAGGGAGAGGGAGAGAGACAGAAACATCAATGATGAGAGAGAATCATTCATCGGCTGCCTCCTGCATGTCCCCTACTGGGGATTGAGCCCACAATTTGGACATGTGCCCTTGACTGGAATTGAACCCTTTAGTATGCAGGCTGATGCTCTATCCATTGAGCCAAACCAGCTAGGGCTCTAAGTAAATTCTTTAATGTATTTCCTTCAGAGCATTTACCAAAATTTAAATTTATTTTATGTAGTTGAGAAAAACCGTTGTTTTGATTTGTCTCTCTTATCTGAATAAATGTCTGACTTCCAGAAGGTGATGACTAGACATTCTCAATAAATGAATAATGGAAAGCTAATACATACTTGACTATAGATTTATTAATAAGCACCAAGAACTAGATTGAAGTGCTCATTAAACTTCAATTTTTTTTCCATTTAATCCTCATAAAAACCCTAGGAGATAGGTATAATTCATTTTATAGGGAAAAACGGGTCACAAAGCTTTTAAGTAGTAGAACTTGTTATTTGGTTTGATTTGATCCTATACCTTTTCTTAACTGTGGCTTTTCTTTTAATGGAATTGAGTTAGTCATTAGGGCATCTCACTCCCTGTCTCTTTGTTTGTAGGAACTTCTAGCAATAGTAAAACAAAAGACTACTGAGAATTTAGATGATGTCACCCTCTTGTTTGCTTTGAAAGCACTTTGGAATCTTACAGATGAGTCTCCAGTTGCCTGCAAACACTTTATGGAAAATCAAGGATTGGCAGTCTTCATTCAAGTTTTGGAGGTAGTAATTCAAGACTGAGTTTATATGTAAAGTTCTTTTCTTCATGATAAAGTAACTATATATTCTTTTAACAGACTTTTTCAGGATCACCAATACAAAGCAAAGTACTTGGACTTTTGGTAAGGTTTTGTTTTGAGTTGATTCTAATTACTTAAGAAATCAGAAATCTAACATTTATGTCGTACCTATTATATGCTAGGCACTTTTGTAAGCATTGACATGCATTAACTTGTTTAATCTAAATACCATTGTATATCATTCATCTATTGCTTTGAACAGACTACAGCTTAAAACAGCCATTTTATTTACTTATGAATCTGTGGGTCAACAGTTTGAACTCAGTTGTCGGGCGGTCTCATGTGGAGTTACTCGTAGCTGCAGTCATCTGGTGGCGCAGCAAGGGCTAGATGCGAATGCTGCCCAACTGACACTTGGATGGCAGCCTTGTGAGACCTCAAGAGTAGAGGACCCAGCCAAGCCATGCCTGGGCTCATGACCCACAGAAACTGAGAGAAAAATGTGTGTTGTTTTAAGCCACTGAGTTTGTGGCAATTTGTTACACAGCATAGAAAATGAATACGCTATATAAAAAAAAGAACTACCTGCCTTCTATTATTACTGTTGAATTTCAAGCTAATAAAACATATAGTAGACCCCTAGGAATGTTTCGTATTTGAGTCAGGCCTGGATTTATATTCTAGTTCAACCAGGTGTTAGTGTTAACCAGCCAAGTTAGTCTTACTGAATGTCAGATTTCTACGTTATGACAAGGTAGATAAAAAGACATTTTTGTTTATCTAGTTCAGTGCCTGGCACATAGTAAGTGCTTACTCAGTTGTTATTGCTGATCATCCTCATCAGGGGGTGGGATTGTGGGTATTAAGCTGCATTGAGAGGGAGCAGGATGGAACTAAGTGTTGCCAATGTATTTGATCTGAGCACTAGGAGAGGGAGAGTAGCCAGTTCCTGATTCTGTCCTCCTTTCCTGTCTCTGATATTGTCTGCTCCATGTGACCTGTAGAACAATGTAGCTGAAGTCAGAGAACTCTCTTCCGAGCTGGTGACCAAAGATGTGGTGAAGCATATCAGCGTCTTGCTCCATAGCACAGCAATGGAAGTCAGCTATTTCGCTGCAGGCGTCATAGCCCACCTGGCATCTGACAAACAGCCCTGGGTGTCCTGTGACCTTCAGAGGACTACTCTTCTCCAAGATCTGGTACAAGAGCCATTCCTCTACAAAGCCCTGCATAATCTCTTAGAGAAAACCTGTTTTTCCAGATACAAGAGTTTTAGAAACATGTATTCATTGTAGAAAGTGAGAAACACGGGAAAGTATAAAGAAAATATTATAAATCATGCATACCCTACCCTACAAAGCTAATCTCTACTAACATTTTGTTGCATTTTTCCTTTTATAAAAAAGTTACATGCAAGCATTGTGTATATAGCTAATTCTAACTCTCACATTCAGCTCTTTTTAAAGCTATTTCTTTTGGTATTTACCTCCTATCTCTAAATGATATATTGCTCCTTCTTGACTTTGCACTTTGCAAATTTAGGCATTCTCTATCAGTTCATTTTCCCATTCTATAAAATGAAGTTTCTTTTTCTCACTGTCCCTATGCACATCCTTCCTTATACTCCCAAGTACAAATCTCCTTTTGTACATTCAAATATATTCCATCCACTTCATCTTCTCAGACACTTCTTGCCCAGAGCCTCTCTGTCTGTCATCTGGTCTGTTTTTTATTTGTTCATTTGTTTTTTATATCTGCTATACTATTGTCAACCAGGATATTCCTTTACTATCCTTCTAGAAATTCTTTGGTCTCTCTAGTATTGGATTTCCTGTTTCCTGGATTGCATGCCTGCCTGTATTTTGGTGTACTCCCTCATTCTGTTGGACCACATCCTCCAGTAGCTCCTTAAGAAGAGATGCGTGAAATAGAAAATTTGAGACCTTATTCTGAGTATAGAATTTTAGTTTTGAAATAGTTTCCCTTCGGGATTTTTAAGTCATTGACCTTTTATCTTTAACTTTGAAAGCTTTAAGATTTTTGTTCTCGGTGTTTGGAAATCACAGGGGTGTTCCCTCGGTGTGGGTATATTTTCATCTGTAATGTTTGGCCAGTTAGGGGTCCTGAGCTCATTTCTTGCAGTTCTGGGAAATTTCTTCCTTTCTTTCCCGATCCCTCTCTCCTTCAGTTCTAGGGAATTTCTTCCTCCCTTCTTTCCTTCCTACCATCCCTCTCTCCTCATTTTTTTTTTTGGGCGGGGGAGGGCCCCCCCCCCAGGGGCAGGAAATGTTGATCCTGACAGATTCATCTTTTCTTATCACCCTATTTATCATTAAAAAAAATCTATTTCAGCTTCTATTGGATTTTGCATTTTTGCTATTATAATTTAAATTTCCAAAGAACCCCTATTATCTCTTTAAAGGTATTACTGATAGTTTAGTGGTTTTAAGATTTTATCTTCTGCCCTGACCGGTTTGGCTCTGTTTGGCTCAGTGGATAGAGCAGCCGTGGGCAAACTACAGCCTGCGGATCCAGCCCGTATGAAATGAATAAAACTAAAAAAAAAAAAAAGACTTTCCCCTTTTATGTAATGATGTTTACTTTGAATTTATATTAGTGAACACTAACACTCCATCCATGCTTTTGTGCGGTCCTCTGTTCCAGTTTAAGACCCCATTGTGGCCCTCTAGTCAAAAAGTTTGCCCACCCCTGGGATAGAGCTTCGGCCTGCAGACTGAAGGGTCCCGGGTTCCATTCCAGTCAAGGGCATGTACTAGTAACTTGGTTGCGGGGATATGGAGGAGGGGGTATGCAGGAGGCAGCTGATCGATGTTTCTCTCTCATTGATGTTTCTAACTCTCTATCCCTCTCCCTTCCTCTCTGTAAAAAATCAGTAAAATATATTTTTTTAAAAAGATTTTATCTTCTTCCAAGGTCTCTGTTTCCTTCAAGTTGGTCTTTTTTCCCATTTCTGTTCCTTGATGTTACAGATTTTCTTAGTGTATGGCAATCCTCAGCTGTCCATTCATACCTAAGAGTGGAGCTGTTCAGGAAGCTGTGTGCTGATGAATAGAACTTGTCAACTGCGGGCTTTATAGAGTGATCTGGATTAATTGTGCCTCAGTGTCAGTGTCATTAGATCTTTTGTCCTGAACTGGTTGGGATTTATCTGAAGAAGAATCTTTTATTCTCCTGATTAAAAACTGTAAGCTTGACTGCCAACAGTCTGAAGCCCACTAGAGGAAGACAGTTGAGGGCAGGGGAGTCTCAGTATTTTATATTTAGATTAGGGGCCCAGTGCATGAATTCATTCACCTTGAAAGGAACTGTGGGCTGCGAGGCTGCGGTGGGCACAGGGGCGGGTCTCGGCCCATCCTCCACACCCCTGCCTGGCCCCTCCCGCCGACCCCCGTCCCCTGTCTGCCAGCAGCCCTGTTCCCGCCACTGCTGCTCCCACCCGTTGACAGCGATGGCCCTGCTCACACCAGCTGATAATGCAGAGTGATTGGGGCCAGCACCAGCAGCAGGTGCGAGTGGGGCTGGTGCCATCAGTGGGTCAGTGGGTGTGAGCAGCGGCTGCTGCCCCAATCACCCCTTAGGAGCAGGGGGAAGTAGAGAAGCCCCCAGGGCAATTGGGGCCAGCAGCCACCACGTGTACCCGCTGACGGCACCAAGCGATCAGGACTGGCGCCAGGTGCCAGTAGTGGGTGCAAGCGGTGGCTCCAGCGCTGGCTGTGGGTGCGAGTGGGGCCGGTGCTGGCAGTGGGTATGGGTGCCAGGTGGGACTGCAGCACGTGGGAGCAAAGAATTTTCAGTAACCTCCAGAGGCTCGCTCCGATAACAGTGACCAGTGCCCTGCCTTGGTCTGGCGCCCCCGCTCACCTGCTCCATCATCCTGCTGTGGCTATCACTTGCCATGTTCCTCGCGCACGTGCCCTGGTGGTCAGTGCACATCATAGCAACTGGTTCAGTTCTGCCGTTTGGTCTATTTGCATATTAGCCTTTTATTGTATAGGATAGGATAGGATTATCACTTCAGCCTCTGTTTTTAGCATGGTAATGCCACCCTTAAATGTTCATGGGTTGCCTAGTACAGGAGGATGAAGGAGATCTGGGAGTCTTGATTCTTTGGTACCTTTTAACCAATCTCTTATTTTTAACCCCACCTCTAATCTTCCTGAAATTCTTGTGGTGCCAAATTTTTAAATCCCTTCAGCGTTTCTGTTCAAGTTGCGTTGTTTTTTAATCTTCCCCAGTGCTAGATCTGTGGAACCAGTTATCCTTCTCCATCTGCTTGGTTCTTTGTGTGTTTACCTTTTATTTTAAAGCATTAGTATTCTGTACACAGGATTGAGGGAAGGAGTGGGTGCATGGTCAGGTCTCCATCTTTAAACAGAAGCCCCTTTTTATGGCATTGTTTTCCACATGACTTTGTTCATATTCTACATATCTAATGGTTTACCTAATTGATATTTTGGCAAGAAGGTGTACCTAAATTTGGGTAAGTTATGCCTGTAATTTGAAAATCGTGATTGTTTTAAATATATATGTAATTACAAATGAAACAGCCTATTATGACCTTTTAAAAATGATGGAATACTTGAATCCTTGCTTCTCTTTTTGTATAGTATGTAACCATCCAGAATTGGCCAAGTTCAAGTTGTAAGATGACAGCATTGGTGACCTACAGGTAATTTCATGATGATGTAATGCTCTTCTTAAAGCTTGTCCTCAGTCGACTCACTATGTAGAGGCCATGGCGCAGTGATAAAATAGAGTTAAATAGCCAATTTCTTTGTGATATTGGGAAGTCACTTTTAGAAAATTTCTTACACTCACTTTTCCTCATCTGTAAAATGAGGTTGACAGGGTGCAAGGGTAAAGGATGAAACGAGATATTGAAGGCACAGAGTGTTTAACAGAATACAATTTCTTTTTTATTTTTTAAGTTTTTATCCTATTGAGTTTGGAAGGGAAAGGAGAGAGGAGAGAGACAGGCAGACAGACACAGACACACATTGATTTTATTCCATTTATTTATGCATTCATTGGGTGGTTTTTGTATGTGCCCTGACCAGGGATCGAACCCACAACTGTAGTGTATCGGAATGACATTGTAACCAATTGAGCTACCCAACCAGGGCCAAAAATGCAATTTCTTTTATGTTTTAATCTTTATTGTTGAAAGTATTACATAGGTCCTCCTTAAAAATGCAGTTTCTTAAATGCTAGCTCCCATTATATTTTCAGTCATACATCTGTCTCAGTGAGGAATTGTCTCTGTGGGGAAATGCTGAAAATTATTCTTATATCCCTGATGTTGGCCTCAGTTCTGAATGAACATCTTCTTTGTGCCTTTTTAGATCCTTCAAGGCATTTTTTCCTCTCCTTGGCAACTTCTCGCAACCAGAGGTTCAGCTCTGGGCACTATGGGCTATGTATCATGTCTGCAGTAAAAACCGTATGTATTCAGAACAGTAGTTTTGCAGCTATTGTTCAGTATAATGATTAAGTTCAATATGGAATTTGGAAAAACTGTTCACCTGTGTCCTTAATTTAACTCCTTCTAAAAAGAAAATGAAAAAAAGTTTATTAGTTTTAAAAATGGAACAAAATTATATAATATATTTGGGGTGAGTATCAAGTAATATAGAACGTGCCTATTTCCCACAGGCAAGCACAAAGAATAACTTGATAGCTATAGGGAGCATTTGAGATCTTGCTCTCTGGTAAATGTTGTCAGTTTGACTCAAACTCATAAAAATTTTTTTAAAAATTGATAGCTCTAACTATTATTCTAGATGCTTTTCTATATACATACTGTAGTTAGTATGTACTATATATAAATGTGATATTTTTAGATAAAATGGGCCAATTCTGTGCATTCTATTGTATAGTTTGCTCTTTTTACTCAACAGTTTATCATGAAGACTCTCTAGTGACACAAAGATCTGCTGATTTGTGGGAGGCTGGGTGGGTCAATTGTTGTTTCCCAGCTAGATTAATGTTTTGCTGTTTTAAATTCCCCTTTGAGAATTTTTAGCTTATGTCTTTTGCTAAATAAAGATAATTGTAAAATTTTTGGCTTTTATTATAAAAGAAAAATAGGCTGTAATTTAATACTAAAAAAACCAAGAGGTAACTTAAAAAGCCTGAAATAATTAATGAGACATACTTTATTCTTAGATGGAAAGACTTAAGGTACAGATGTCAATTTTCTTCAGTTTATGGATAAAATACAATTGAAGTGAATGAGTAAGAGATTTAGAGTCAAAAAAAAAAAAGATTTAGAGTCATCTGAAAATCTAAAGTATGTGTGTATATATGTACATATGAATAATGACATATGTATGTATATGTATATATGTACAATATATATACATATAGTCAAACTAGGGGAAAATGCACGTGTGGTAAAAGTATTTTAAAAATTGCTTGGCTCATAGCCCAGTGTAAAGGTATTTCAATTGTCTTATTCCTTGTCTTTTCTAGTCCTTTGAGGGACCAACTTTATGAACTGATTTTCTGTCTAACTCCCTAAATTAGAATCTAAGTTTCTGTATTACTGAAACTGACAGTCCCTTCCTGCTCCGGAATAGCTGCAGGTTAGGTTATGTACGTTAGGGGTTTTCTTCTCTATATATCTGGCTTCTGGACATTATCTTTACTTTGTACATTCAACTTTGCATCTAAATATTTCTCAGTTATATTTTATCCAGCATCTGATGTCTTCAGCTTATCTAATTCATCATATTGCCTGAACCTGAAATCTGTATTAATCTTGTAATAAAAGATGTTCTTGTTCTTCACCCTTTTTGCTAAGGTTAGAGATATGTGAATCATGGAGTTGCCTGGAAGTAAACATATTAAAATACTCATCTGTTTGGTCACTACACAAGCCAAGCATTATTTGAGTTTGAATTGACTGTTCCTTTTGAACTTATTTTAGACTACTTCTTCTGTCAGAGGGCTTAAAGCTTTGTACCCTTGCTTCAAAAAGGTGAATGTGGTGACTTGGGAATCTTTAAAATACCAAATTGTCCATCAAGTTTTTTGCTTAATTTTCTTCCAGCCAGCAAATACTGCAAAATGTTAGTTGAAGAAGGAGGATTGCAGCTTTTGTGTGACATCCAGGAGCACAACGAGGCAGACCCCCAAGCACAGCAGACTGCAGCCTCCATTCTTGATGACTTCAGAATGCACTTCACGAATCATCAGAGACTCCCTTTGTGTTAAATGCCCTTTTTAACCTAAGCGGCCTCAGAGGTGCTCTGGTCCTCAAGGGCAGGCAGATCTTCATCCCGTCAGCCACTGAATGTTGAAACCTATTGTTGGAATGTATGAGCTGGCCATCTTTAATTTATTTTTAAATTTTTGTGTGTATATTTTGATTATATGCGTTTTTTGGTTTTTTTATTTTTTTGTTGTTAATCTTCACTTGATATTTTTTCCATTGATTTTTTAGAGAGAGTGGAAGCGGGGGAAATAGAGATAGAGAAAGAGAAACATCGACGTGAGAGGGACATCGATTAGCTGCCTCCCACACACGCCCCAACCAGGGCCAGGAATCAAACCTGCAACCCAGGTATGTGCACTTGACTGGAAATTGAACCCATGGTCCTTTGGTGTGTGGGCCAGCACTCTAACCACTGGGCACACTGACCAGGGCGGTTGCCGGGAGCCGGTCCATGCTTGCTGTTTCAAGGGACCTGGCATATATGGCATACTGTTCTTAATATGTTTGCTCACCTTCTTGGCACTATGTGTTTTAACCAAGGTCTCTGAGAAAGGTTGTTTCCCCAGGTAGGGATTTTCCCCTGAAGTTAGGGAGGGAATAAAACCTCTTAACTAAGTGCCAGGCGGGTAATTAATCACTTTAACTATGAACAGTCATGCTTAAGCTACATAATCTTTACTCCCTGGAATGGAGATAAGAAACGCCCTAACCTTTGTAATAGAGATTGATAGGATTGGAATCAACTGGTATAAATACAGATGTACCAAGACAGCAAGAGTCAGAACTTAGAACACAGAACTTAGAATACGGAACCAAGAGAGACGGAACCTAGGCACAGAACCTACACAGAACGTTCTCTAGAGACAGAAGAACTTCGCTGGAGAGAACATGGCAAAAGATCCTGGACAGAAACTGGCCTCAGAACCTAGAGACAGACCTAGCGAGAGAACATGGCAAAAGATCCTGGACTGAACCTGACTATAGAACATGGCAAAAGAACCTGACTAGAACTTGGTGACTGAACCTGGCTGGAGAACCTGGACAGAACCTGGCTGGAGAACCTAGCGAGGGAACATGGCTACAGAACCTGGCTGGGGAACCTGGAGAACCTAGCAAGAGAACATGGACACAGAACCTGGCTGGAGATCCGAACCAGAACTTTGCTGGAGATCCAGACCAGAACTTGGCTGGAGATCCTGGCTAGAGATCCTGGCTAGGCTGCTGATCAACTGAACGCTGTCTCCATGTCATTCCTTCTTCGCCGACTCCGTCTACGCCTTTGGGGACCCCTGGACCCGCTGGGGTTGGACCCCAGCAGGCGGTCATCTTTTATTAATGGTGTTTGTAAGTTACCAACGATTGTATTTTATGATGGCCATAACCCTAAACCAGGTTGAAATAATTCTGACAACATTCCCTCAGCAACTGTGAAAAATCAAGCCCTGGACTCTGGGAAGACCTGTGAGTGTGTGTTGGAACTGTGCCAGTTACTTTTCTCTGTAAGTAGATACCAAAGTACATTCCACTGTGGATGGAGGAAAAAGAAATATATTTTTTGCAGCTTTTGATATTCTTCTTGTGGCCCTTTCCCCTCAACTTTACACGTTGGACTGAGTGGTATAACATTCTAGGTATGTGGGTTTGCTGCAGGGGCATGGTGAGACAGGACTGAGAATAGTGTGTAGATGGAAGATTGTATGGGAATTTTACATCTCAGTCCCTCAGAGTTTTAATTGGAGTAGAACTGTGACCAGAACTGAGAGGAAGAGAGAGAGCCACAAAAAGTCTTTGCCAAAGATTTCAAGAGGTGCTCTTACCCAGCCGGGTGACAAGAAACATACGGGCTTTTTTGACAACCAGCCTCTATCACAATATAAATTGTCAGAAGCTTTTGATCATGCCCTTGCAAGCCCCCTCTGTAGAATGGAGTACGGACTCCTTTCTTGCCTTGTTATTGACAACTAACAAACCATATTTTGTCATTCATGTGTTTTAAGATTTTCAAAGAACAAAAATTAAATTCCTTTTTTATTAGCATATTTTAGGACTACAATTTGATTCTCTTCTTTGACCACACTGTTAACTGGAAGGATATGTGCCATCTTTCGGAATGAAATGAGACTTATTCTAAACGATATCCCAATCTATTGCTCACCAGTGTCGCACTGGGGAAGGGGAATTTGTAGCCTCCTACTGTCCTGAAACTGCCCTGTATTTTCTCTCACTCACTCTGTGCATGATTTCAAAAATCTGTCTTAGTTTCCTGACCCGGGTTCTGGGACTTTGGAACATTCTTTTACCAGATAATGTGAGGATGTGGTGGGACACTGTGCCTGTGGAGGCCCAGTTCTACCCTAGGCTCCTCTCCAACTTTTGTCTCCCCATGATGCACACCATCATCTGGGGTTTTAGCTTCCCCATTCAACAGATGAGAAAAAGGAAGTTCAGAAAGGTGGCTACTTTCCCGACTAGTTAGCAGCTTGAGAGGTTGGGGCTGAATCTAAGGCCGGGGCTGTTCTGTGTTACTCTCCCTTTCAGGAAATGAGCACAGCCGTGGAGTACATTTGTATTTAGCAGCAAATTAAGAACACTATTGGTATGTGTCCATGCCCATGACTTAGAGACTCTAGGCCTAGGCTCAGGAGTTCAGGCAAAGCTTAGCTCTGTTAAAGAATGACCGTGGGCCCTGGTGTGGGAGGAGCCTTCTCTTCCCCTGCCTTAGTGCAGCAAGAGGGCTCCTGAGACCAGTGTGCGTACATGCATATCAGCCCCCCGTTGTTCCTCCGTGTGCCCTCCTCTTGTTCACCTTTGCTCATGCTGTTCCCCTCAGCCTTCCTCTTCTTTGCATCAAATGTCCACTAATTCTTCCGGCTTCAACTCCAGTGTTACCTACGTATTTCCTGACCCCCCATTCTCTCCGTCAGTTAATCGCTTTCTTCTCAATGCTCCTGAAGTCTATTTAGTGCAAGTACAGAGTGGCCTGCCACCCTGCAGTTTAAAAAAGGTCTTCACAACAATGATTTCCATTGGTTCTTGCAACACTGCACATTAATAACTCACATTTATTGACCAGGAGGCGTTTTATTTATTTAAACCCTCACAGCAATTCCATTTTACAGATGAGGATGCTAAGGCACACAGTGAGTAACGTAGAGAGCTGGAATCTGCAGTCTGATCCCTGGCACCTGATCCTCTACCAGGGTTTCCTGATGATCTCTCTTGTATAGTCAGCAACTGGGGGGTTCTTAGTACTTCTTGCCATCTCTGGTGAGCACCTGCTCACTGAGAGGCAGAGATCAGGCCTGAGAGCCAACAATTACAAAGGCGAGAGGGGGATCTATTTTAATCCTTAGTTTATCATTCGAGTAGGGAAAGACAGGCATTCTCCAAAGCAAACTGTGCCCCAGTGGTTCTAGACACAGGGAGGGGAATAGTGATGATAGCGGTAGGTGGCAAAGTCAGCACCTTAGTACCAGGCACCACATCAGCCATTTTATATCCATTGTTGTCCTTGTGAGAAAACTAAAGCCCAGAGATGGGGAATGAGGGCAGTCATGCTGCAAATTTCCCTTTGAGGTTATATGGGAGTCACTCGCCCACAAATCTAGGGGGTCGTTTCTCCCTGAAGGCTGCCATGCCCTCTAGCCGGTCCTGGGTGGGGATGTTCTGAAACAACAACAGAATATTAGTTTGTTGGGGTGCAGAGCTAGAGGCCAGTAAGGACTTGCTCAAGTTTGTCCAGCCCATGACAAGGCAGGGTCCAAGTCTTTCTATTGTCTGTGGACTCGGGTATCGGGCCATGCAAAGGTATGGGCCTCGTGGCTCCTTAGTTTCCTGAAGAAGGCAGGCTGCGCCTTCAGAATCTGGCCTGTCATTGGCCTCTGCTTGACCCAGCTTACGTGCCTCCAAACAACTGAGAGTCTCCTGCAGCAGTCTGATAGGAGACTTCACAGTAAGAAATTGGCTTTGAATCCTGGGTGTAGCTCCTTCACACCAGGCCCTGCAAGTTCCAGGACCCCCTGTGTAGGAGGACTTTCGATATCTGTTGACCTTGAGGTTAGTACTTTTTGACTCACCCAGGAGTCAGGTCTAAATAGATCAGTCCCAGATTTATCACACACACCACCCCCCCCTCCGGTCAAACACACACAGCCTACAGGCTGTAATAAGCAAGGCTTTGACATCCCACTCTAACCTGACCTCTAAGTGGCCACTGGTACAGAGACAGTGGAAGCTATTCTTCCTCTCAAGGACATCTGTGTTCTGTGATTCTCTAGGTGGGGACAGAATGTACCTCCACCAGATAGCTGAGGAAACAGTCCCAGAGAGAAGCAGTGTGGTTCCTCTGGGATCAGCCCAGGCTGATTGGGAGGAGTAAGTGGCATTGAGAGAGACCCTTTGGGTTGGGAGGAACCTGCTAAATTGGTCATGGATTGCACATGAGCCCCCCACTGTGGCCCAGGCTCTGCTTACAAGCATGCATGGACTTTGGCAGTGACCACGTACCTGGGCATAGCACATCCCTTCAATGGCCATCCCTGATGCAATGTCCACCTGCAAGAAAGAAACCTGAATAAGCCTGACCTTGCCCACCTCCATCTACACTGACAGCTAGCCCACCCTACTGCCTACACTATTCTGTCGGTTCATGGCTTCCTCCAGCAAAGAATTACTGAGTCTTACTGTATGCCAGTCACGCACAGAGATGATTATGATAAGGAATTCCCTGGAGAGAGAACACCATAACTGACAAAACCATGCTGGGATAATAGGGGCTGTGAGCACAGGGGGAGGGTTGCACAGCCTGTAGCGCTGCGGAGGTTGTACATGAACTGCGCCTTCCCAGACAGTGTTCTCTCCTCATGGGCTGCCTCACCATGCCTCCTGTCATCCCCATTAGTGAACTACAGGCTTTCATTGCCCTTAGGAATAAGGTCCTGGGCCTTCATGATGTGGCCCCTAGCAACTCTGCAGCCTCTGCTGCTCAGTGCTACTATTACTGCTGCTTCACAAGCACTCTTCTAAGAGAAGTATTGCATGTACGTAATCTTCACAAAGGTTATTATCCCTATTCTGCAGTTGACAAACCTGAAGTATAGAAACGTGAAGGAATTTCTCTAAAATCACAGCAGTATGTGGAAAAGCAGGTCTTTGAACCCAAACAGGCCAGCACTAGGACCCATGCCCCTAACTTCCATGATTTGTTCTCACTCACCCCGTACTCCCATTCAGTCCAGTTGCTTGTTTACACAAACCTGTGATTTTGCTCATATTTTTTGCCTTTTCTGGAATTCTCGTCCTTTCCAAGGCCCAACTCTAGAAAATATCCTCTAACTCAGCACTACCCAATGGGACAGTGCTGCTTTAACCTCTCCACGGTATCGCTCTGCTTGGTACCCTTTTATTAGTGATCTGAGTCTGTATCTAACCCCCTCCCCACCTTTGGGGCAGTGACCATATTTGACTTATCTGTGTCCCAGTTTTCGGCTCAGCTCTAGATTCAGTGTGTGATGTACAATCAAGTAAGTTGGGGTGGGATGGATTAGCTGCACCCAAGACTCCACCCTGAGCCCTCTCCTTGAGGCCACATCAACTGACCAGCACAAACCCAAGAATATGGACTGGGACCCACACAGACCTGGTTCTTATTCCTGGCTCTGTGACCTGGATGAGTCATTTACCCTCTCTGAACCTCAGTTTCCTTCTCTCCAAGGTAGAAAATGAGGATAAAATGAATCTGGAATGTCACCTGGTCAAACGTTACATGTTGTAGATGGGTAAACTAAGGCACCCATGGCATTGGATGTTACAAGAATCCAGTCCCTGGGTTCTTTCCAGCTGTGCTGTCAGAGTGCCGTGAAAGCACCGCCTCCCAGCCACCCCACTGACCGCAGTCCCGACCAGAGCCCTCTCACCTCCATTCCTCGGTCAATGGCTACTTTGCCCAGCCGCACAGCAATGGGGGCCTAGAGAAAAGAAAAGGCTTGGTTGAGGAGGGGATCAATGCTGACAGGGGAGTTGAAATAAAGGCATATAGCTCCATGGTTGGGGGAGAGTTGTGGACAGGGAGGCGGAGTTCTAGCTTTCTGCTAAGTGTTAGGTTCCGCTAATGTGAGCACCTGCTGGCTCTCAGTTGATGTTCCTTTTCTTTTATAAAGGAAACCTGACTGATTCCTGCCCTGCCCAATCCTGACCCTATGGGGTTCTTGTCATTTCATTCGTTCCTATGAATACAACCATTTACAAAGTGCTTTCCCGCCCACAGACTTGTCCAATGGTGCTACCCACCCTGCCAGGGTGGTGCCATCTTTAACTGAGGCTCAGGGAGGTGAAGCAGTTGTCCAGTGAATCAGAGGTGGAGCTTGGATAGAGTTCCCACTCACCTCTCCCACTGCTGCTCCCTTCCTCTACCCCTCTCAGCTCAGCAAATGCAAGCCTCCACTGCAAGCAAGTGCCACCTCAGCAGAGTTAAAGCATGGTCAGGATTAGGAACTTGGGCTTTGAGGTCTGACCCGCCGGGGTTGAAATCCCAAGGGGGCATTTTGCACAGCCTCTGAGAAGCAAGAGCATCAAAGCTGCCATCTTTGCTTCTCTGGTCTTGCTTCCAATTAACTTGTGCCACAACAGGCCTGGCACTGCACTCCCAGCCCCACTTCCAGGCAAAGGATGCACTTACTGCCTGTAGTATTCGTAGTATTTGAAGTTTTTATAAGTAAGACTTAATCAGAAAAAAGAATGACTGTTTTAAAGTCTGATAGCATAGAAGCCATAATTGAAAAAGCTAGTTACATAAAAATGAAGTTGGGAAAATCACCACAAATAAAAGGCAACAGTAAAAAACTGGGAAAATGTATTTGTGATACTTAAGACAGATGAATTTTCTTCATTTATAAAAAGCTAGTATTTTTTAAATGTAATCTGAACAATAAAGATTTACTAAAAATAAAAATAAAAAGCTAGTATTTTTTCATCAAATTCATAAGGATATGAAAAGGTAGTTCACAGGAAAATATAAACACAGGGTGCTCCCAGATTTACTCCTAGTTAAGAAAATGCGAATCAAAACAGTGAGGTGCCCCTTTAACCTTAGACTAGGTAAGTAGTAAATTGTTGGTATAGCCCACTATTGCCAGGATTAGGAAGCAAGTATTTGCATATATTATTGATAGAGTAAATTGATACAATGCTTTGGGGAAGGCAATTTGGCAAGAACTGGCAAATATAGATGCACATGCTCTTTAAAAATATATATATGTGTGTGTGTATATATATATATATATATATATATATATATATATATTTCAGAGAGTAAGGGAGAGAAACATCAATGTTGAGAATCATTGATCAGCTGCCTCCTGCATACCTACTACTGGGGATTGAGCCCACAACCCAGACATGTGCCCTGATTGGGAATCTAACCATGACCTCCTGGTTCATAGGTCGATGCTCAACCACTGAGACAAACCAGACAGGCGATGCACATATTCTTTGATGTTGCAACTCCATGTAGAATCTACCCTGCAAATGCACAACTACAAGTACACTAAGATGTACAAAGTTCTTCACTCCAGCTGTTTTGCAGTAGCACAAAGATGTAAGCCACATAAATGTTCATCATTAGAGTACTGGTTAAATAATAGCACATCCAGACCAAGAATGAAAAAGTGCAGTTGTTTAAAAGAATGAGGTCAATAAATATACAGAGGTGGGCAAAAGTAGGTTGGTAATAATAATAAATAATTCAACAATTAAAAAATAGTAATACAGTGCCTGACTGGTGTGGCTCAGTGGTTGAGCATTGATCTCTGAACCAGGAAGTCATGGTTCGATTTCCGGTCAGGGCACATGGTGGGTTGTAGGCTTGATCCCCAGTGTGGGATGTGCAGGAGGCAGGTGATCAGTGATTCTCATCATTGATGTTTCTATCTCTCTCCCTTCTTCTCTGAAATCAATAAAAATACATTTAAAAATAATACAAGAATAAACTTTTGCGTACTCACAACTGCAACCTACTTTTGACCACCCTTGTATATACTCATATATAAACTAGAGGTCCGGTGCATTCATGCACTGGAGAGGGGATTCCTCAGCCTGGCCTGCCCCCTCTCACAGTCCAGGAGCCCTGAGGGGCAGGAGGCAACCCTGCAATCAGGTGAAGGTGATGCCCTATCCCACCTCTGCTGTTGCCACTGCCGGCAGCACAAGCCTCGGCCAGCCCTGGTTACCTGAGCCTCGGGTGGCCCTGGGCAGCTGGGCAGCTGCCATCTGAGGTTTGCCTGCACCTTGGGGCGGCTGGGAGGCTGAGGGGACTAAGGGTCTCCGCAGGCAGGCACATGGAGCGGCCGGGTGCCCCAGCAGGAATGAGGGGACTGGGTGCCGCCATCTTGTGGTTGTGGGCGGGGCAGTCAGCATATTCCCTCTTTCGTAGATGGGATAACTCAGTTCTTTTTAGAATGGTTTAGGGGACAAGGAACATACCTTTAGAGGCTAATCCGATTCTAAGAGACATTTTAAAAACATGAAATTAAAATGTGCATCATAAAGAATTCAAACAGTATGGAAGAGTATGAAACAAAAAGTGAAGTCTCCTTTCTCCTGGCCCTTCCCCCCCAAAGGCATGCTGCGCCAACACCTTTTACACAAATGGGATAATAAGAAACATACTAGTATGCACCTTGTTTTTTTTAACCTGATTTCCTGGAGGTTCCCATTTCAGCATATGTATGTGTATGTGTTAGCAGACATATTTATGTTTCTAAGTATATAGACATAAATGTGAGGATTATTAGAAATCTAATAATTTGAACGTTATTTGGAAATGAGAACAGTGAGTCACACTGTGGTGCAGTATGTTCAAGTAGAAAACATAGCCAAATCCATATTTAAAGCAAAATGTGTATTTACTATTTAGGGGGGAAATCTGAGTATTAAGTTGTAGGCCTTGCATTCATTAAAAGTCTTTTGGGCCCTAACCTCTGGAACCATTTGACTCCCTCGTCTTAGTGGTTTGTCCACCAGAGGGTAGCCATGTACCACACCTGGCAGTCACCCCATCCAGGAATTGGCTGGAAGTTGAAGATTTACTTTTTTTAGGTTGCATCAGACATTCCAGCATTGGGATAAGTGATTACAGTTTTGGTATGCTGGTGTTTTGGAATGCAAAGCTACTTTCAAGTACTGAAATACTAGTACTTACATTAGTATAATACCATTATTTTAGAATACTAAAAGATCTGAACTCAGAATCATCTCTAAATCAAGCTCAAAGACCCAGTTACACAGTTTATGCAAAAAGACAACCCTTCAGTCTACCAGTCTTGCTAGGTAGGCCCCTCTGTGAAGGTACAGCCAGCTGCGAGCTTGAGTCACATAGAGTTTTGTTTAGATCAGATACTTGCTGATCTAAGTATAATAGAAATCTGATAGCATTAAAATTGATAGAGTAGCACCATCAGACACTCCATTTATATATGATGAAACTAAAAAAAGAAAAGACAAAACATGCTTTCTTTTAAATCAAACTCACTATCAGTTTTTTAAAGTTATAATCCCTGCCCTCAAGAAAGGTCTCAAAGTTATAAAAAGAAGGTAGGATTAAATAGGAGATAGAGAAAGATTTTTTCCAAAATAAATGCTTAGCCCAGCCAGCATGGCTCAGTTGTTGAGCATCAACCTATGAACCAGAAGGTCATGGGTTCGATTCCCAGTCAGGGTACATGCTCAGGTTGTGGGCTCGATCCCCAGTGAGGGACTTGCAGGAGGCAGCCAATCAATTATTCTCTCTCATCATTGATGTTTCCATCTCTTCCTCTCCAAAATAAATTTCTCTGAAAAAAAAATATTAAAACAAAAATAAATACTTAATTTTCATGATTAATTCAAATAGTTTCATCTGTAAATACTACAATGATGAATGGAAAACATTTTTATAGACTTTTTTTGTTTTGTAACATGTTTGCCGATTTTTATATTTGAAATGCATTAGTTTTACAGTTTTAGAAGTTTTTGTACATATTGTGTACCCTTTAGAATAAAATGCTAGTTTTTACATCGTATGTAGTTTTTATATTATGCAAAATAAATACCAAAATACCAGTGTTGTCTCTCTGGTATGGTAGGTATTACAGTCACTTTTTGTGACCTTGATGAGCAAGTCACTTAACCTTTCTGGGTCTGTTACACTTACAGATACAATGAGGATAATCAACCCAGCTGGATTGTTCTAATGAAAGGACCTAAGATAGTGTCTGATGGATGGGAGATGCTCCATGTGGGCTTAGTCAGTATTTATTATAAATTAGTCAAACAGCTCCATTTCAGCTGTGTTCATATCTTTATGGAAATTTGGGGCCTACCTCTGGGTCCTGTCAGAGTCATGACAAGCCAGTAGAGGCTCTCAGGTTCTTGGCGACCCCATCAGTCAGATCCAGGGTATCCTGCTGAAGGCTTTGGCTTGGCAGAACTACCTGTGGCTAGAGGCTGATTTAGTGGACAGCACAAGAACAGAACATTCCCATCGTCTCAGAAAGTTCTCTTGGACGGTGCTGTTCTGAAGATATTCAAGCCCATTTGAGTCCCTCAGAATTCAATTTTCATTTTAACACTTGACTTAATTTTGTTTACTGGATGGCTAAATGGATGCAAAATTCAAAGAGGGTTAATTTTATGAGTCTGGGTAAATGGATCTTACTGGCCCTGTGGGACGCCGTGGCCTCCCCACACGTGTGTCCCCCATGGCACAGGCCCTCCCTCCTGTGCGGGGCTGCCAGCACACCTGGGGCAGGATCTCCTGGGCCAGTTCTCGTGCCCGGTGGTAGGCAGCGTTGCCCTCCTCATTCTGGGCCACAGCGTGATTCACCAGCCCGAGGGCCTGGGCCTGTGTCCCACTCAGTCGTCGGCCTGTGAAGATGAGCTCCTTCGCCAGGGCCACCCCCAGGCACCGAGGCAGCCTCTGGGTCCCTCCTGCCGAATGGAATGGGGATGGTAAGTCAGCAAGGGAAGTGGGAGCCCAGAGAAGGCCCAGGCTGGGCATCAGCCAAGACTTCTTCTCAGAAGCAGATTCTGAGTTAGGCTAGAGACAGAGCCTAGTAAACAGGGGGGGGGGGGGGGGGGGGGGGTGAGGCGGCGGAGCAGGGAAGTACTCCGGATGGAGGAATTGGGCAGGTAGAGGAGGATGGGTGCTGTGGGTGATGTTACCTGCTCCTGGGAGGAGCCCTCGGGTGGTCTCGATCAGCCCCATGACAGCTGAGGAAGCTGCATAAACAGAGTGAAGCCCCCACCCTCTCAAGTGCCAGTCCTTGGGGAGAAGTGATACCTACCTCTGGGCTCTGCTCACCCCTTCAGCCAACCACTTCCATCATGCTCTGGCCACAGCCAGACCTCTCCAGGCTCTGCCTTTGGAAGAGCCCTGGCCTGGAGGTCAGGTCCTCATCCTACCGTTCCCACTGAGGTCGAGGGTGGGGGCTGTGCATCCCCAGGCAAGTCTCTCACCCTTTCTGAGCCTCATAGGTGGAAAAAGATGATTACCACGCTCCTGCCTGCTTCAAAGAGCTGCTAAGGATCAAACGAGGAACAAGGAAGGGGTTCCTGGAAGGTGCCCACTACCTATTTGTGGGTTAATGGATTCTCTGTCTCATACACCCTTAGCTACTGTCTGGCCTAGAGTGTGAATGACTCTGGCTCCCACCAGTTATTCCTCCCAGCTTTTCATTAGCCTGAAATTCCCTGTGTTCAGTCCACATCCTTCTGAGTTCTGCTTCCTCCGAGAAGCTCTTGGATGTACCACCCCACAGGCTTCTCTCCCAAATTCCCTCTGGCCATCTGAGCCAGGCAGGAGGGAACAGCCACCTCTTCTGCCTAGGGGGGGTTTTACACTCACCCTCCTATTGCCCAAACCCTACAGGTTAGTTGCGTTAAACATCGACAAGGTGAGAAGCAGAGTTGGGGCTATGACCTGACCAGGTATTTTGATGCCTTTTTGTTGATGTGCATCGTGTAGATATAAGCTACTTCTACGGCTGGAGTTGCCCATTTTCAAATGTTCCCGGGTGGCAGGAGAAAGCATTAAGGGAAGACGGAGCGCCATGATGGCACAGACTTTTCTGCCTCCCAGAAGGGTGCACCTACCCAAGGCAGAAAGGTTAAAATGTAACCAGGTGTGCCCTTCACCTCCTCCCTCCACTCGTCAAGGCTCAGTTGCTCTGAACAATGAACCAGAGGGCAGTGTTCCTGCCCAGGCATGTTTGTGTTTAGCTGGGCTGGTGACAGACTGCCCCTGCCTCACCTTTGTTCAAAACATGCTAAGTAAAGCTTCTTGGACAGAACTGGAAGGTTGAACACCTAGTCTTGTCCTGCTCTGCCTTCCCTCTCTGTGCTCTCCTTCCTGTCCTGCCAGCAGTTGCTCTGATTGGCAGGAGCGCTCTGGTGCTGAGTGTGACTGTGCTGAGGGTGACTGGGTCTACAGCGGTCAGGGGCTGGGCCAGGAGCGGAACCAGCTTCCCCTCTGTGGCCTCCCCTTTGCCTTTAGATCTGCTGGTAGGAAAGCCAAGAGCAGTGGCTGACTTCACAGAATGCCCAGACTTACCCTCTTTCACTCACCCTCTCCTCCCCATTGTACCCGACCTCCCCCTGCCCAGTACCTGCCACGCGAAGGTCACAGGCCAGGGCAAGTTCCAGGCCTCCACCCAAGGCGTACCCATCCATCGCTGCTATGGTGGGTGCAGGGAAGGCTGCTGTGGAGACGAAGAAGGGCTCCGGTTGAGAGGGTTTGCAGGACCAGGACAGGGACTCGAGGTTAGAGAGGGCCTCGTTGGTCTCAGATTTGGGGCCTCAGCCAGGTTATTGTAGAAGTTGGATTTTCCAATAGGGAAATTTGTGGGACCAGCTTAGGAACCAGAGTGGGGAGATGGGCTGGATGATCTCTGCTCAGGCCCCCTCCCCTGCTGGCCACTCTGGGACTCCCCTTTCTGCTTTCCCTTCTTGTTCTGTGTGTGGCAAGCCCTGTGCTGGGTGCTAGGAACACAGAATTGAGTCAGACATGGGAAGACAGACCCAGGCGATCTGTACTCTGTTAAAGAAAGCTTGGAGGATGGGTCAGGGAGGAGAAGGAGGAGGTATTGGTGGTATTAAAGGATGAGTAAGAAGTTCAGGTGGCCAAGGAGGGATATTCCAGACAAAGGAACAACCATGTCAAAGCCTACAAGCATGCTTGGTGAAACATGGCTCCTCTGGACTAGCGAGGTGTGAAGCTTGATGCCATGGGGTGGGTGGTGGGTGGTGGGGGTCAAAAGCAGCAGGGCACAAAGGCTGAGCCCGTGTGAAGGAAATGCCCTCTAAACCCTCTTGTCACCCTCCTCCTCGTACAATTCCTTGTGCCCATCCTCCCTGGGAGAGTCATTTGTCTTTCCACAGAGCTTACAATAGAAACTGTCCTCTCTTTAGAATAGAGGGTGGTGGTGGGGTGAGTGTGTGTGTGTGTGTGGGGGGGGGGTGGCAGGGATCAGCAGGGCCCTCCTCCACCCCATTTCTGGACCCTCACCAATCTCATTCATTAGGCCTCGGAGCCTCTGGACAAAGACCCCCACTTCTGCCTCACTCATCTGCTCCCGCTCCTTCAGGTCCGCACCTGCAAATAGGGGTTGGTGACAGTCCTTGGGAAATAACCGTTACGGAGCCCTAGGCTGTTAAAGATCCAGCAAAGGAGACTTGAGGAGAAGCAGCCAGAGAGGAAGGAGAAACCTGAGGAAGCATTGGTCAGGGAATCCAGGGAGGAAAAGGGAGTGGGTCATAAAGGAGAGGTGCCACAACAGAAAGAACAATTGGACTTCAAAATAAAAAACTTTAATGTCAAAAGACACTATGAAGGAGTGAAGAGACAGCCTACAGAATGGAAGAAAATATTGGCAAATCACCTATCTGATAAAAGATTAATATCTAGGACATATAAAGACCTCCTATAACTCAATAACAAAAACCCCCACAAAGGACAAAGATTTCAATAGACTTCTCTCCAAAGAAGATACACAGATGGCCAATAAACACATGAAAAGATGCTTAACGTCATTAATCATTAGGGAAATGCAGACCCAAACCACAATGAGCACATTCCACACCCATTAGGACGGCTGTTATAAACAACAGAAAACAAGTGTGGATGTGGAGAACCTTGATGCATTGCTGGCGGGATTATAAAATGTTGCAGCTGCTGTGGAAATCATTGTGGTGGTCTCTCAAAAAAGTTAAATGTAAAATTACTATGATCCAGTAATTCCACTCCTAAGGATATACTCCAAATAATGGAAAGCAAGGACTCAAACAGACACTTGCATACCAGTGTTCAAAACAGCCAAAAGGTGTACACAATCCTGTGTCCACCAAAGGACCTATATATATAAAAGCCTAAGCGACCAAACGACCGGTCAACTGGCCACTGTGATGCGCACTGACCACCAGGTGGCAGATGCTCAACGCAGGAGCTGCCCCATGGTGGTCAGTGCGCTCCCACAGAGGGAGTGCCACTTAGCTAACCAACAGGCACCAGACTCAGGGCTTATGGCTGGCCGCCGCAGCCGGGAGACCGCAGCGGAGTGGCAGCAGTGGCAGTGGTGGCAGGTGCAGCAGGGTGGGGTAAGCGGGAGTGGCAGGCAGGAGTGGCAGGTGGTGTTGGTCTGCGGGTTTTGGCCCGATCCCTGCAGACTACGCCGAGGGACCCCACCAGTGCACGAATCCGTGCACTGGGCCTCTAGTGGGTTAATAAAATGTGTGAATATACATGGAATATTCAACCATAAAAAGGAATGATCTGATTCATGCTGCAACGTGGATGAACCTTGAGGACATTATTCTAAGTAAAATAAGCCAGACACAGGAGGACAAATGTGTGATTCCAGTTGTATGAGGTCACTAGAAGTCAGCAGGTTCTTTTGTCACAGAAACTTATCACCTAAACCCAGAGGCTTGACAACACTCATGTTTTGTCCCTTTTTCAAATTCATAGTAGACCAGAGGTTACCAGGGCTCTGGGAAAGTGAGAATGGGGAGGGATTGCTTAATGGGGACTGAGTTTTTTTGTGCTCATGAGAAGTTTCTGGAAATGAACAGTGGTGATAGTTGCACAACCTTGTAAATATACTTAGTGCCACTGAATTTTAACACTTAAAACAGTTTAAAGGTAAATTTTGTGTCATGTATGTATTTGCCACAATTTTAAAATTATATAAAATAAAAAATTTATTGATTCCCACCCCCCAGTTTTATTGTAAAATAACTGACATGCATCACTATATAACTGGTTATTTTTTAAAAGGAGGGAGGGGTCAGTGGGGTCCAGGGAGGCTGAGGGGTCAGGTAAGTTGAGAGAACTGAGAAGCGAATGTAGGATACAGTGGCATGGAGATGGGCAAGGACGTCGATGAGAATAGTGATGCTGGTGAGGTCATCAAAGGCCAGATGGTAGGAGGCTGAGGTGGAAGTAGAGGGTGAAGATGGTCTCTTCAAGTACCAAGTCAGATCGGGGAGAGCCTTTGGAAGTCTTTGATTAGTTCCAGCTTCTCTATGACAGGTGGGGAAACTGAGGCCCAGGGAGTGGCAGGGACTAGCCAAGGATTCCAGAGCAAGTTGGGGTCAGACCCAGACATCTGGTAGCCTGTCTATTTCCCTGTGCTAATCTGGGATAGTGAGGAGTGGTGCTAACAGGGACATGAAGTGACCTTAATAGAGGTCAGACAGAGATGGAGATAAAGGAAGAGGACAGGGTAGGGTGAGGATCTTTGCCAGGGCTGCCAGGTCAGGGAGACCTTTTTCTATATACTTGTCCTGCCAGGGCAGGCTCCACACTGGGCACCAAGATCCCAACAGCTCAGATGAAGGGACTAAGCTATATCCCCTTGAAAACCTGAAAACCATATTTCTCCCATCCTCTCTCTCCACAACCACTTCCCGCCTCCCCAGTGACCCCTGTGACCCCTCTCCAGCCATCCCAGCACTGGTTCTAAGCTCAGCTCAGCTCTCATTGACTTGCTTCTTATGGGCCGGGGATGTGGTATTCCTATGAAACAGAAGTTCATGGTGCTTGCCTTGGGAGGACCAAATGGTGCAGGGATAAGTGGAAAGCTTTGGTGGCAGGGACTGGGCAAAGGGGCACAGAGTCCCATCTTGGCCACTGACCTTGTGAATGTCTTTGATTCAGTTTCTTCATTTCCTCAGGGAAGGGTCAGAACACAGCATGGTGTAGCCAGAAGACTAAGGACTTGGGGGTCAGAAAGGCCAAGTTCAAACTGAATTCTCTTCTACCTCTTACTAGCTATGTAACCCTAGGCAAGGAATTTTACCTCTGAGTCTTGAGTTCACATCTGTAAAATGCGAGTAATGAGTCCTATGCTAGAGATGACTTAAGGTCCCCACCTCATCCCCTGCAGGCTGGGGGGAGCCCCGCTGAGCCCCGGGGTGGGGAAAGGGAGGACACCCACCTGCACAGAACACACCCTTCACTCCACTTCTGAAGAGCAGGACACGCACGTGCCGGTCGTCCCGCAGCCGCGCCAGGGCTCCCAGCAGCTGCAGAGGAGACCCCGTCAGATACCTCCCAGCCCAGCCCAGCCCCACCCACCCTGGTGTCGGCCATTTCTCACCTCGCTCACAAAGACGTGTCCCAGGGCATTTCGGGCATGCGGTCTGTTCATCAGAATCTCAGTGATTCCTGCAGGGGACCGGGCAACCTTGGGTGAGGCCTCTGGCCTGCCCACTCCTGGCTGGGCCTGGGCAGCCTCTACCTTGAGCAGCAGTGTGATGGGAGTCACACATGCCCAGGCTTTGTTTTCCTGACTATAAAACAGAATAACACTTGTCCTTTCTGCTTCACAAAAGAAGTAGAAGGGCGTGTGAACTGCGGAGAACATGGGGAGAGGGACAGTGACCACTGCAGTGGTTCCTGCCTGCCTCTGCCATTGTCTCTCTCCCTCTCTCTCTCTCTCTCTCTCTCTCTCTCTCTCTCTCAGACTTAGTTGTGTGGCTTTTTTTCCTTTTCCTTTTTTTAGAGCAGTTTTAGGTTCACAGTAAAACTGAGCAGAAAGTACAGAGATTTCCCTTATATCCCAGCCTCCCACACATGCACAGCCTCCCCCATATCAACATTCCACACCAGAGTGGTACATCTGTTACAGTAGACAAACCTACACTGATGTGTCACCCAACGTCATAGTGTACGTTACGGCTCACGCTTAGGGTTGTGCGTTTGCTGGCTTTTGGCTAACGTGTAACACCGTTCGTCTGCTTTGTGGCCCCGCATTCTCCTGGCCTCCTTCCTCTCAGATGACACTCTGCACTTCTCTAGGTTTTCTTCTACCCAATTTTTAAAGTTCTTACCTCATTTGCTAAACACCTGTCTATAATAAACAAGTCCTGGGTTTGTGGTATTGGAAAGCTGCTAAGAAAGTAGATCTTAAGCATTCTCAGAACAAGGTGTGCTGGTGGATCTTAACTAGACTCATTGTGATGCTTCTTTCACAATGCAACAGATATTGAGTCATTTGGTTGTACACCTGAAACTAACATAAGTCAATTACACCTCAATTTTTAAAAAGCCCAACTCTTAAGAAGGTAAATCGAGCTCTGGCCGGTTTGGCTCAGTGGATAAAGCGTTGGCCTGTGGACTGAGAGGTCCTGGGTTCGATTCCGGCCAAGGGCATGTACGTTGGTTGCAGGCACATAGGGGATGTGCGGGACTCAGCTGATCGATGTTTCTCTCTCATCGATGTTTCTAGCTCTCTGTCCCTCTCCCTTCCTGTGGAAAATCAATAAAATATTAGAAAAAAAAAAAAGAAGGTAAATTGACAAGATATACAAATGACCAATAAGCACATGGAAAGATGTTTAATTGTATTAGTATCAAATAAATGAGTTGTTTTTGTTTTTGTTTTTTGTTTTTTTTTAAAGCATACTAAGATTTGACTATACACCCAGTACAATGGCTAAAACGAAAAAATCTGAAAATAAAACCAGTGTTGCCCTGGTTGGTGTGGTTCAATGGTTAGAGCGTCGTCCAGCGCACCGAGGGGTCTTGAGTTTGATTCCCAGTCAGGGTTGCAGGTTAGGGCCCCAGCCCTAGTTGGGGTGTGTGCAGGAGGCAACCAATCGATGTCTCTCTCTCGTATCGTTCCTCTCTCTCTCTCTCTCTCTCTCTCTCTCTCTCTCTCTCTCTCTCTCTCTCTCTCTCTCCCTTCCTCCCTCCCTTCCACTTTGGGAAAAATATCGTTGGATGAAGGTTAACAAAACAAACAGGCAAACCACCAAGTGCTGGTGATGAAAAAAGAAACTGTACTATCTATTGAACAATTGTAAGATAAGAAATTGTGTGAGTTATAAGTTATGTAATAGTCCCTGCCCACAAGGTGCTTATAACCTAATACAAGTAAATAAAAATACGAGGTCTTGAGTAAGGTAAGTGCATACAATACGTCTTAGAGATTGCAGGTGGCAGTTCACAGGTGGAAGCGTTTGAGCAAGGTGAGAATAAGTAAAAACGTTCATTTGAGGAATGAGGTATGGTGGGAAAAATACTATAGGTAATGGACTACCCAATTTTTTAAAGTCCGAGTTCCTGAGAGCTCAATCCAGGACCTCTTTATTCAGTCATCTGTACAATTAAATAATGCATCTAACATGTGTCGGCTTCTGTACTAGACACGGATTCCAGAGACCAGGCAGGCCCAGGCCCTGTCCTCTCAGAACCTGCAGTCTGACAGAGAAGACAGACATTCAGTGATGTAATTACTGTCTGTGATGAGAACACAGAATAAAAAGGACAAGGAGGTAGGAGAAATAGGGTGGGCCATGGGGAACCCTAGTGTAGAAGGTCAACAATGACCTCCTGGTGGAGGAACTGACCTTTTGGCTGAGAGCTGAGGGGTGACTAGGAGAGCAAGGCAGGCAAAAGTCTGTGTGTGTGTGTGTGTGTGTGTGTGTGTGTGTGTGGGTGTGTGTTTATGTTGGTGGGGAGAGAAGCCATTCTTTTTGGCTGGGCCCGAGAATTAAACTGACATAAAACAGATTAAGAGGAGAGAGCATGCACATTTATACAAGTTGTACATGATATGGGAGCCCCTATAAGGAAACGAGCCCCCCAGAAATGGTGGAACCTACATGCTTTCATAGCAGGCTGAACAAAGAGACAGTTGTGGAAAGGTAGCTAAACTAGTGAGGAGGCTAAAGGAAAATAAGAATTTCGTTTTTTGTTTTGTTTTGTTTTGATTTTTGTTTTTTTAAATATATTTTATTGATTTTTTACAGAAAGAAAGGGAGAGAGATAGAGAGTTAGACACATTGATGAGAGAGAAACAACCATCAGCTGCCTCCTGCACATCTCCCACAACCCAGGTACATGCCCTTGACCGGAATCGAACCTGGGACCCTTCAGTCCGCAAGCCGACGCTCCATCCACTGAGCCAAACTGGCTTCGGCTAGAATTTCGTTTTTTAATAAAATGTGTTTGTGCAGAGTTCTCTTGGCTTTGCTTCTCTGTTGAAGAATGTTTCTTTTCTCCTGGTCCAGGGAGGACAGCTTTCCCGGGGGAGTATTTATCTCTTGTCTTCAGGAAGAAAAGGGGAAATCCAAATGCCTTTTGTGCATCTGCTGGTTTTTTTTGTTTGGGTTTTTTTTCAAGTGCCTTTAGCACAAAGTAATCCTTATGACAAAGGCATATTTTGGGGTAACATATTCTGCCACCTTTCAGTGTCTTTGGGAACCGGAGGAGTAAAGGGAGAGCAGCGTAAGGAGGTAGGAGAATCCGGAGGAGCTGGGCTTGCTCATCTTCCCTTCTTCTGCACCTCCCATGTGCTTGCCTCTTCTATCCCCTGGGCTGCCCTGCACACCTGGCCCCCCAGAGCTCTCCTCTGAGTTCCCAGCCTAAATATCCAACTGCCCACTTGACCTCTCAACCAAAATGGTCAATCTTTCTCCTGTTCCCTTGGTGAGTAACTGATTACACTATGAACCCAGAAGCCCACCCTGTTGCCCCCCTCTCCCTCACCCATGAAAACTCAGTCTCCAAGGCCTGCCAATTCAACCTCTTAAACAGATCCTAGATCTTTAAGCGCATAGCCCTCATCGCAGCCCCTAACCTGCTATGGGCGTTTTACTCTATTACGTGGATCACCCAACTGGCCGTCTTGCTCCCTGTCTTGCTCGTTTGGTTCACAGTCATCTTTCTAATCCAAATCTGACCATGGCCTTCCCCTCCCTTTTCATCAAAATAAAGTCCAAACTTTACAGAGAGGAAGGGAGAGAGATAGAGAGTTAGAAACATCGATGAGAGAGAAACATCGATCAGCTGCCTCCTGCACACCTCCTACTAGGGATATGCCCGCAACCCAGGTACATACCCTTGACCGGAATCGAACCCGGGACCTTTCAGTCCACAGGCCGATGCTCTATCCACTGAGCCAAACTGGTTTCGGCAAGTCCAAACTTTAATACCACCCCCAGAATCCCCCAATCTGGCCCTTGCATCCCACTCCCACTTTGGCCTCAACTCCCCCACCCCACCCCCGAATCTGGGGCAGCTGTGGGGCAGAGACACCATTGTGGGCAGGGGCTGTTTTCCCTTTGCTAAAATGTCCGGGATAGACTAGAGGAGTGTTTACCAACCCTTTGGAATTCAAAGGCCCTTTATTTATTTTTTTGTTTTCTGGGGTCCTCAGCTTTGTCTGTAGAACAAGCAGTATTTAGTAAGATGGCATTCTCAGTGCGAGTTGGTTTGAGACATAGAGAAGGGCCCAAGAAAGTTTCAGAGCTCTCAAGAGACAGGGTGTCCAGCCTGAAGTTAGAAAACTGTGGTCTAGGACAGAGACCTGTGACACTCAGGCTAGTGAACTTCCTTAGCCGCCTCAGAAATTTCCAAAGAGCCCTAACCGGTTTAGCTCAGTGGATAGAGCGGCGGCCTGCAGACTAAAGGGTCCCAGGTTCGATTCCGGTCGAGGGCATGTACCTTGGTTGCAGGCACATCCCCAGTGGGGGGTGTGCAGGAGGCAGCTGATCGATGTTTCTCTTTCATCGATGTTTCTGACTCTATCCCTCTCCCTTCCTCTCTGTAAAAAATCAATGAAATATATTTAAAAAAAAAAAAAAGAAATTTCCAAAGAGCTCACGGAGCCCAGCAAGGTCTGGAGGTTCCACAGAGGAAATCAGATGTCCTCACAGTTCTCTCCAGCTCTGGTGCTTCAGAAGAGAAACTGGTGGAAACAGAGAAACCCTATCAGAGGGGTTGAGGAAAACGGTCTAGGTCAGTGATGGCGAACCTATGACACGCGTGTCAGAGGTGACATGTGAACTCATTTTTTTGGTTGATTTTTCTTTGTTAAATAGCATTTAAATATATAAAATAAATATCAAAAATATAAGTCTTTGTTTTAGTATGGTTGCAAATATCAAAAAATTTCTATATGTGACACGGCACCAGAGTTAAGTTAGGGTTTTTCAAAATGCTGACACGCCAAGCTCAAAAGATTCGCCATCACTGGTCTAGGTCCAAGGTCTTGTGGCTGACAGACCCTAGAGTGCCCCTCTGTTCACAGCCCCTGTGAATTGCTTCTAACCAACAGAATACAGCTAAGGTTACCAAAAGTTACTTTCAAGAGTAGAGTCAATTATATGGCAACGGTGATGAGATGTTACTTTCATGGTTAGGTTACGCTGTAGGTAAGCCTGTTTTGCTAGTGCACACTAGGAAAACAGTGGACCTATGGAGAGGGTCAGATACCAAGGAAGTGTGGGAAGCCTCTGAGAGCTGAGATGGGCCCCCTGGACAACAGTCAGCAAGAAAACAGGACGTCAGTCCTATACACATAGCAAGTGAGTTCTGTCAACAAGGTGAGGAGCTTGAAAGCGGATCTCTCCCCAGTCAAGCCTATGATGAGACCATAACCCTGTCTAACGCCTGGACAGCAGCCTGGAAGACCCCAAGGCAGAGAACCCAGCTAATTTGTGCCTGGACTTCTGACCTACAGAAATTATGAGATGATAAATGTGTTATTATCAGCAACAGTGTTTGGTGGCGATTTGTTCTGTGGCAATAGAAAACTAATATAGTAATGATGTGCTGGGATTGACAGAAATTTTCTCTCCTTTCGCTTTCCTGTTCTGTCATTCCTTTCTCTCTGGCTGACTCTCTCCCATTTTTTCATCTTTTTCTCTGCTTTTCATCTTTATATTCCTCTCTCAAAACACTAGCTGCCAAATCTTAGTGTGCTTCACTTGAGCCATAGCTCAGTCTTTCACCAGTTCCATGGCCTTGGGCACATTATGTTACCCACCTGGCCTTCAATTTCCTCATCTGTAAATAGAAATAATAAAAAAGGTTGTTATGAGATATGCCGAAGGAATCTCTTCTCTGATAATGCTCCTAGGGCAATGGAAACTAAAGAGAAAATAAACAAATGGGACTACATCAAAATAAAAAGCTTTTGCACAGCAAAGGAAACCATCAACAAAACAAGAAGACCCACTACATGGGAGAACATATTTGCCAATGATACCACTGATAAGGGTTTAATTTCCAACATTTACAGGGATCTCATGAAACTTAACAAAAGGAAGATAAACAATCCAATAAAAAAATGGGCAACGGACCTAGAGAGACACTTTTCGAAAGAGGACATACAGAAGGCCGAAAGACATATGAAAACATGTTCAAAGTCACTAATTATACGAGAGATGCAAATCAAAACGACAATGCGTTATCATCTCACACCTGTCAGAATGGCTATCATCAACAAATCAACAAACAAGTGTTGGAGAGGATGTGGAGAAAAAGGAACTCTTCTGCACTGCTGGTGGGAATGCAGACTGGTGCAGCCACTGTGGAGAACAGTATGGAGCTACCTCAAAAAACTAAAAATGGAACTCCCATTTGACCCAGTGATCCCACTACTAGGAATATATCCCAAGAAACCAGAAACGCCAATCAGAAAGGATATATGCACCCCTATGTTCATAGCAGCACAATTCACCATAGCTAAGATTTGGAAACAGCCTAAGTGCCCATCAGCAGATGAATGGATTAGAAAACTGTGGTACATATACACAATGGAATACTATGCTGCAGTAAAAAAAAAGGAACTCTTGCCTTTTGCAACAGCATGGATGGAACTGGAGAGCATTATGCTAAGTGAAATAAGCCAGTCAGAGAAAGATAAATACCACATGATCTCACTCATTTGTGGATTATAGAGAACAACATAGACTGATGAAAAGGGACAGACCCAAAGACTGAGAAACAGCGATCAGGCTATCAATCCCCAGAAGGAAAGTAGGGGAGGGCGGGGTTAAGGGGAAGAGATCAACCGAAGGACTTGTATACATGTATATAAGCCAAACCAATGGACATGGACAACAGGGGGATGGGAGCATGAGTGGGTGGGGTGGGGGGGGAGGGAGAGGTTGGGGGTTAATGGGGGGGATGAGGACACATTTGTAATACCTTAACTAATAATAATAATAATAAAAGGTTGTTATGAGGATTAAAAGAAATAATACACATAAAATGGTTAGCCAGAGTTTGTGAGAAAAAGACAGATGCATGGAGAAACAGAGAGGACTCTGCCAGGGCCGCTGCCTTCTGTTTGAGCCCTGATCCTAGGAACCCTGCTGTTTCCGGGCGCCAGCAGTAGAGATGGGTCTGCACTGCACTCTCCTTACTCACCAAACCCACCATGCCACTGGCTGATGAATTCCTTGGCAGTTGACGTAGGATCACTTTTGTCTGGATGGTTTGGATCACAGGCTTGGTGATATGGGTAGGAGTCAACCGAAACCACTGGAGGTAGTATAGAGACCAATTGGCTTAACAACTCCTTATTATATAGAAGGGGAAACTGAAGCCCAGGAAGGAAGAGAATTTGCTGAAGTGAACAGCTGGACCCAGCTAGCAGTCCTACGTTCAACGGGCTAACAACCTATGAGGGAGACAAGTCCAGATACATGGAAAATAAAGGGATATTGAGGGGTGGTAATTCCAAAAGTATTTACATAGGCAGAGAGGAAAGGAGAGGACTCAAATCAGGGGCATAGCTAGAATAAAACACAGAGGTGGGACAGCTTAAAATGAACCCATGGGGTAGAAGAGGTAAAATGGAAAGGTCAGGTGTAGTGGAGAACCATGAACACCCTGCTAAGTAAGGAGCTGGAATAGAGCCATAAAGAAGAGTGAAGCCGAAACCGGTTTGGCTCAGTGGATAGAGCATCGGCCTGCGGATTGAAAGGTCCCAGGTTCGATTCCGGTCAGGGGCATGTACCTGGGTTGCGGGCACGTCTCCAGTGGGAGATGTGCAGGAGGCAGCTGATTGATGTTTCTAACTCTCTATCTCTCTCCCTTCCTCTCTGTAAAAAAATCAATAAAAAAAATATTAAAAAAAAAAAGAAGAGTGAAGAGTAGTCAACAAGCCAATCCTGTTCTCAAGGACAATGGGTGTGACAATACTCTTATGCCATTGGTCCAAATGAAGGCAAAGTCTGTGGCTTCTAACATGAACATTGAATGGCCCCAAGTCATTTTTGGGGGGGTGGAGGAGAGGGGTGTTTCTCCTGTGTGGGAGTCTCTTCCTCAAGCTTCTTCACTGCTTCTCCTTATGCCTGTGCCTCAGTGACCTTCTAAATGGTAGGAGCAGCCTGGCCAGCGTGGTTCAGTGGTTGAGCATTGACCTATGAACCAGAAGGTCATGGCTCAATTCCTGGTTAGGGCACAAGCCCAGGTTGTGGGCTCGATCCCCCAGTATGGGGCGTGCAGGAGGCAGTCGATCAATGATTCTTTCTCATTATTGATGTTTCTAGCTCTCTCTCCCACTCGCTTTGTCTCTGAAATCAATAAAAAATATATTTAAATAAAAAATAAATGGTGGGGCAGAGGCTTAATATGCTGATCCTTGTTATCTGTGGGTAACAATTCTGCTATTTGCAAGGTCTGTGATCCCTGATAATACTTTTTACTGATGTACTAGTCTGTGTTTTGTACAGAAGAGGCAGTGATGACCTAATAGTTGAGAACACAGGTTTTGAAATCACACCTGATTCAAATTGCTTAATTTCCCTGGGCAGCTGCTTTTGTTTATTTTTAATTTTAAAAATTTATTTATTTATTTTTAAATATATTTTTATTGATTTCAGAGAGGAAGGGAGAGGGAGAGAGGCATAGAAACATCAATGATGAGAAAGAATCATTAATCAGCTGCCTCCTGCATGCCCCCTACTAGGGATATATTAGGGATCAAGCCTGCAACCCAGGCATGTGCCCTGACTGGGAATGGAACTGTGACCTCCTGGTTCATAGGACGACGCTCAACCACTGACCCACACTGGCCAGGCAGTTTATTGATTTTGAGAGAGAGACGTTTATTTGTTGTTCCACTTATTTATGCATCCATTGGTTGTTTCTTGTATGTGCCCTGGTCGGGGGTGGAACTTTAACCAACTGAGCTACCCGGCCAGGGTGTGCCTCTGTTTCTTAATGGCAAAGAAAAACATCTAGGCAAGCACTGTTGCCAGTTGGGCATGAACAAAGCATGAGAGCAAGGGGTATTCTCCAAGACTCAGCAACCCTTACATGCCATCAAAAGTGGGGGATGCACACGAGGGAATAGTGTGCCACAGAAGGGAGCAAGGAACTAGATTAATACAGCAAAGCAGCTCTTCAAACCTTAGTAAGGGGTGGGGGAGGAAATAAGCGATGTAATCTCCAATGCCATCTGTGTAAATTAAAATTCTGACACAATCAGGATTGGAGAGAAAGATAAGAGGACAGCCTTGACCCGAGAGTAAGCCTGAGGGGTGTAGGTAACAATAACAGCAAAACAAAATGCGCAATCGAAGGTGTTTCCCGCCAGTGACCAGCGAGCTTTCCCGGTCCTCAGGCAGGGAGGAGACGTGCCCTCCTCTGCCCTCTCCCTCCGCCCTCCATCTCGGCCTCCCACGGTCACCGGATTGGCTCCGCGGCCTCGGCCCCCTTGGGACCTTGCCAGTGTCCTTGGCCCAGGGGCACGATCACGCCTGTTAAAGCTGCGGGGGTGGGTGGTGGTGCCAAGTGCTACTCCCGAGCATTCCTCTTCCCTTCCTCGCAGCCCAGCAGCCCAGGCTCACCGGGGACTAAGGACCGATACTGACCTAGAGTCCCATTCCAAGTCGTGTCGGGGAGGCCAGTAAGGTGGTCACCTATTTTGGGGCAACCTCGACTAGGATGCAGGGGATTGGGTAAACATCCTGACATACATTAGACGACCCTACTGTCTCAGTCTCCCCGTGCCCAGTGGACGCGCCGGCCATCGCCTGGGCCGGGCGGCAGCGCCAGGCGCCCCCCTCCTGAGCTCTGCCCGAGCTCACCCCAGCCGCCTCCTGGGTGCTCTCGGGGAGAGCGCGCTCACCTTGGTCGGGACCCTCCAGGGCGCGCACCTGGATCTCCGGGTCCCGGGCGGCTCCAGCGGAGGCGCAGCTGCGGGCCGGAAGGGGCCTCCAGGGGCGCGCTAGGCGCCGGGCGCTGGCCAGGACGCGCTGCATGTGGGCGCAGCTGGAGGCGCCCTCGGCTCCCCCTCCACCTGACCTCCCGCCCAAGGCTCGCAGGTCGGCCGCGAGGCCTCGCCAACTGCGCCACCTACGGGCCGCGGGCCGCGCGCTCCTCGCCTCCTCGCCTCCGGTAGGGGGCAGCCCAGCTCCGGGCAAGGCCATCAGCGATTCTCTTCTCTTCTCTTCTCCTCTCTTCTCTTCTCTTCTCTTCTCTTCTCTTCTCTTCTCTTCTCTTCTTTCTCTTCTCTTCTCTCTCTCTCTTCTCTTCTCTTCTCTTATCTTCTATTATACTTTGTTCCTTTTCCTTTATGTTCTTTCTCTTTTCTTTCTTTTTCTTTTCCTTTTCTTCTCTCTTCTCTTCTCTCTTCTTTCTTCTTCTTCTTCTTCTTCTTCTTCTTCTTCTCTTTCTGCTTCTTTCTTCTTCTTCTTCTCTTCTTCTTCTTCTTTCTTCTTCTTCTTTCTCTTCTTCTTCTTCTTCTTCTTCTTCTTCTTCTTCTTCTTCTTCTTCTTCCTCTCTCTCTCTCTCTCTTTACCAATAAACAAGGATTTATTTGGAAATTTCCAAACCTGACAGAAGTGGCACTTTCCAAGCCCTAGGCCCACCCTTCTTATCAAGCTCCAAATGGCAATGAGTTCCCCCTCCGCTCCCCTCCACCAAGCACACACACCCATGCCTCAGGCCAAGCCAAAGAACTTGAGTGTCCCCTTCCTCTAGTCTAGAAGGCTTTATAGCCCTGGGCCCAAGAGCTGGAGTGGCAGCCCTCTGGCATCACAGGAGATGATGGCAGCCAGAGCCGCTTGCATAGATTGAAGACAGAAAATAAGGGAGGAGGCACCAAGCAGGACTCCCTGAAAAACCCCAACTTGTCCCCTGTACAAAAAAGTGGCTCCCACATAGAAGAACCTGCTCCCCAAATAGTGCAAATACCCAAAGAAAAGGAACAAGCCAGTAGCATGGCTGGGCTGGTCGGAATGGCGAAGAACTTTGGTTTAGAAAGGGTAGGAAGCGTGTGAGCCAAGTCTCTCTTCCTTGCCCAGCTCCCCAGAGCCAGCTAGGGCACTTGCCCCAAGGGGGAGTCTGTAAACAAGCAAAGCCAATGGCCTTTGGTTCTGAACCTTCTCCCTTACAATGGCAAAGCCAGGCCCCTAGTAGTCCTACGTGGGCCTCCTGCAGGGAGCAGAGGCATTTATTGTGAACCCAATTAAAGCCAACGCATAAAGTAAGTAATAAGACTTTGGGGACCAAGCAACAAGGAATCCTATCGCTACATTTATGAAACTAACGCTGGGAAGCTGAGGGTAACAGGACAAACCCTCACCCTGCTCCTTATCCGATGTGTCTGCAGCCTCAGATGGTGGTCCCTTCCAGGCTGAGAAGGGGATGATGCCTGGGCTGGGAAGAAAGGAAGGGATCCCTGAGCAGTTAGGTCAGGCAAATTCCCAGCACCTGTTCCAGTTCCTGCCTTCGATGCTGCACCTTGGCAAAGATACGCATCCCCACTGCTTCCTGGGCCCAGGGCTGGTGGTAGAAAGCAGCTCCTCTCTCCTCCTCAGGATTCCCGATCACATCAGTGATGATCTTGAGGTCTCGGCGCTGGGAACGGAGCCATTCCTGGATGAAGTCCTGGGGGTTAGTGCTAAAGCTGAGCATGAAATCCCTCTGGGTCTTCAGCTGGTTGATGGACTCGATGGTCTCATGGATCTTTCTTAATTTAAGCGTCAGTGTTTTAATCTGCAAAGCGGAGGTAATAATAGTGACCACGGGAAAAGAGAAAGGCAGATGCCAGTTGAAGTACCGACAACAGATTTAAAACATGCTATTGCAAATAGGGAACGTGCTATTGCAAAAGGGAAATGTCCAGTCTGAATTGAACTCGTTCGGGCCCAGGAGCAGGAGTTCACCTCAGCCATTGAACAGCAAGCTTTTCAACCCGGTACCAGCCATTTGGGTTTAGGTTCCAGGATAAGGAGGAGTGTGGTCTTGAGCCTGGTCTGAGACTGAGAGCAGGGATTGGCCAGAAACCGACCGGTCTCACAAAAGCCTAAGATGTTTGGATTGTTGGAACTGTTCTGTATCCTGTTAATGGGAGTAGTTTAGAAGGGTCAATGCATGTGTTGCAACTCATGGGACCTTACACCAATAAAGGGTAGGGGTGTGTGTGTGGGATCTCACGACAGGTATGTCTAAAACAAAGGAAAAACCAAAGTTCAGTGACTATCTTTGTGACCTTTTTAATCTCTCTGAAGCTCATTCTCATGTGTTGTTTTGTTAGGGTTAAAGAAGATGACAGAAACAAAGGCTTTAGCCCCTAAATATATTTTATCCTTTTTATTTGCTGATTCTGAATTGCAAATTTGTCTACTCACAAAAACTGTAACCCCAAAGTCAATATTCAAAGAGTTCTTGAGGTGGCAAAAATTTTGAGTGGTGCTTTGTGCATAAAAATTCCTAATTAAAAGCGAGTCAGCTGAGGTCGAACAAAACCATGCAGTACTTGTTTTAGCTTTCATGCTGTGAACGAGTGTCCTTATCATGATCTATTTTGTGCCACATTTTGTTGTTGCTGTTGCATTTTTGTCCTTTTTGTTGGTGATTTCACTGTTTAAAAATGGTCCCCAAGCCTGAAGTGCTGTCTGGTATACATAAGTGCAAGAAGGGTGTGATGTGCCTTATGAAGAAAATAATCTTAGATAAACTTATTTCAGACATTGGTTACAGTGCTATTGGACTTGAGTCCAATGTTAATGAATCAACTATATATGTATATGAATACACACACACACACACACACACACACACACATATTGTTTAAACCATCAACAAGAAGGGCAACTGAATGGAAGAAGATATTTGCAAATTATATATAGACTAGAGGCCTGGTGCATGAAATTTGTGCACTGGGTTGGGAGGTCCCTCAGCCCAGCCTGCCCCCTCTCACAGTCCGGGAGCCCTCAGGGGATGTCCTACTGACGGCTGGGGAGCGGGCCTAAGCCTCAATCTGGCCTCCCTCTGTGGGAGGTGACTGGGCTGATCAGGGGAAGGCACCACCCCCATCACCCCACTGCTGCTGCCACTGCCAGCCACCACAGCTGCCAAAATGTTTTCATCAACACAGACTCCAGTCCCTTCACCACGAAAAAAATGACAACTTTCTTTAGGCATTTTCAAGATGTGTCTTTCATAGGATATGACCTTTCTTTCTTTCTTTCTCTCTTTCTTTCTTTCTTTCTTTCTTTCTTTCTTTCTTTCTTTCTTTCTTTCTTTCTTTCTTTCCTCATCTGAGGATATGTTTCCATTGATTTTTAGAGAGCGGGGAAGAAAGAGGGAAAGACAGAAACATCAATGTGAGAGGGCCACTTCGATTGTTTGCCTCCTGCATGAGCCCTGACCTGGGCCCCAGCCAGGGAGGAGCCTGCAATCTAGGTATATGCCCTTGATCAGAATCGAACCCGGACCCTGCTGTCTGCAGGCTGAGGCTCTATCCACTGAGCAAAACCGGCTAGGGCAGGATATGGCATTTCTTAGCCCCGCCAGCAGTGGACCTTCATTTTTTCCTCCAGGAGTCAGGTGGAAAAACCCTAGATCACCTTCTTGGATTCTTATTACCCAAGTTACCAAGAATACTGCGGGGAGCTTAGCCAATGAGTGGTCAGAAAAGGTGTTTCCTCTGCAGCTCACATGCAGAGGCCCCCCTGGTGTGTGTGTCCGCTGGGGTGGGGGCCCGCTCTGAGCCACGCCGCCACCCCTGGTGTAGGTCCGTGCTCCACCCCTGGTGTGTGTCCGCTCAGGCCCACCTCCAGCCCCAGCCTCCCCATGGCCGCTGGGGCTGGGGGCAGCATGCAGTCCCCTCCTGCCCATCTGTTCGTGCACCTCCTCCTGAGCCAGTCGTGATGCATTAAGTCAGTCGTTCTCAACCTTGGCTGCACATTAGAATCACCTGGGAATCTTTTTAAAATCCTGATTTCTGGGCCTCATCCTCTGGAAATTCTGTTTCTTTGTTATGGGGTGGGACCACAACATTAGTAACAAAGAAACAGAATTTCCGGAGGATGAGGCCCAGAAATCAGGATTTTAAAAAGATTCCCAGGTGATTCTAATGTGCAGCCAAGGTTGTGAACCACTGTCTTAAGGCATCCCAGCTAATTTGCATATTACCTGTTTTTATGTATATAGATACACACACACATATACACACATACACGTGTGTTTACAGTTGTTTGTATGAAAAGTAATACAATAATTAATAAATAATAATACAAGAATAAGCAGTTTCACATACTCATAGCTGAAAACCTACTTTTGCCACATTCTATATTTAAAGAACTTACACAACTCAACATCCAAAAAACCCACAACCCAATTAAAAAATGGACAGAGGACCTGAATAGACATTTCTTCAAAGAGGATATACAGATGGCCAACACACACATGAAAAGATGCTTGACATCACCAATCATCAGAGAAATGAAAATCAAAAGCACCATGAAATATCACCTCACACTTTTCAGAATGGCTATTATCAAAAAGAAAACAAATGGCAAGTGTTGGCAAGGATGTGGAGAAAGGGAACCCTCATGCACTGTTGGTGGGATTGTAAATTGGTGCAGCCACTGTGGAAAACATGACGGGGTTTCCTCAAAAAATTAAAAATGGGGCAGCTATTCCACTTCTGGGTATGTATCCAAAAAAACCTAAAACAATAATTCAAAAAGATATATACACCCCTATGTTCATTGGAGCATTGTTTACAATAGCCAAGAAATAGCAAGCGAGGTGTCCATCCATAGATGAATGGATAAAGAAGATGTGGTGAATACATACAATGAAATATTACTCATCTATGAAAAATCTTGCCATTGTTGATAACATGGATGGGTTTAGAGGGTATTGTGCTAAGAGAAATAGGTTGGACAGAAAGACAAATATGATATGATTTCACTTTTATGTGGAATCTAAAAAAAGAAACAAAATAAAACAGAAACTCATAGATACAGAAAACAAACTGATATCGGAGGGGAGGATGTAGAAGATTGGGTGGAAAAAGGCCTGTATCTTCCTTGACAAAAGTCAGTCTTCACCTTAATTG